GACAAGCAGAGAACCCTTGCAGTCGAAAAAGAACGTCATCATCACTTTTCAGGCACTTGTGCGTATGGCTTTGGATTTCTTCAGTGGGGGAGAATTCACATGTTTCCACTGTTGGCTCTGCCATTTGCTCTCGGCACCAAGTTTCGTCCCCAGTGGCAATACGGGACAGAAAAGCATACTCTTCCTTATGGTATCGTTGCAAGTGACCTAGTGATGCATCCATTTTCTGAGTCTTCTGTTCCTCCATGAGTTGATGTGGAACCCACTGTGCGCAGATTTTGTGGTACAGCAGCTATTTTGTCACAAGGGTGTGTACGGAACCGTGACTTATTCCCATCTAAAGACTGATTTCTTCGACAGTGAACTGTCGGTTTGCCCGGATATGACCAACCAATGCAGCAATAACATCAGGAGTGATGACACGATGAGCCTGTCCTGGGCGAGCGTCATCTTGCAGTGACACATGTCCCTCTCGGAATCTCTTATGGCACACCAGCACTTGTGAACGTGACATGCTGTGTTCGCCATAAATAAGAGTCATGCGACAATGAATTTCTCGTCCTCCTACTCCTTCAGTAGTCAAAAAGTGCACTACACTTTGCTGTTCTTCTTAACCTGCCTCCATTACTGATGTTGGACAACAACATGTAGCACTAACCTTACTTCCAGCACAATAAGCAAACAACTAGTGTGCAAGGGCATTGTCACTGTGCTTTCCAGAGTCCCCACCAGATATTTGTACCATTAAGCAAATTCCAGTGTTACCAACTTGCGCACTGTGAGAGTTATGTGTGGTAACCCGTTTTCATTTGACTGCGCCTTATATAAAACTGGGGATTCTGTTGTCCTTGTTGGACAATGTACAACTGTGCTGCAGGTCTTTATCTGAAACGTTCTGCTCCTGTTCTGAAAATCATATGGCTGTCTGATTTATTACACTCAAGTAAGACCATGTACATCTTGTCTTGCTTCTTTCTTAGGATATCACTTAGTTTATTTAACTTCGCATTCATGATTCTGTGCATGCATGTGTGTAAAAAGCTAATAAACCTTGTGAAACATGATGATGATGATAAATGATAAAGATAAGACAAAAAAATAATTTTATCAAGGTTTACATATTTAACAGTCAGATCTTGGCAATAAAAACACCATATAATGCCAATATACAACATAAACAATACCATAAAGAAAAATTTTGCCATAAAACAGGAGAAGGATGACAAATACGAACAAAATGGAATATATAAACTTTAATATGGAGTAATAAATGCAACGTGGCCAAGAAGTCATTGTACCCCTACCTAATATACCTTGTGGCAACAGTTACAGTAGATCAAGTGGATCTGGATGTGCGCTGTCATGTTCGAAACAGCATGATGCATCACTGCGTTCTGTGTGACATGTGCTGAATAATTTGTGGCATAAGTGCAACGACTTCCTGTTCCACAGCTCTGCACAACTTGTCACTGTTACAAAAGTGGTGCGCAGCCATTTGTCCCTTGATAATGCCTCGCTAGGTGGTGGTCAGGATAATAGTGAGGGGGATGCTGTTAAACCATGGCCTGTCTAGGAACCTGGATAATGTTTCTAATATTTGAGGTCTTCATGGCACTGACTATGAAGAAAGCAGTCTTCTGGCATTTGGCACAGTGTATATGTGGTGTTAACCGACGTTTTGGAGGAATGTATCGCCTCCATCTTCAGGGTAGAAGGAAAAATATCAGAAATCCACAGGCGAAGAGACCGTGAGAACCAGTAAAAGCAGACTGGTGTTGGAAATATACAGCTGTGTGAAAGCAGTGAAGGAAGGGGGTTTTTTCAGAGAACCCCCCGGGATATGATGCCACATCCAGAAGGCTACGCAGGCCATGACCCACTAACATAACAACCACCACCACCCCACCCACCTAGCTTAAGGGTTAGTGCCCAGCCTTTAACCTTGTCTTTCTCNCGATATGTTCCTTCGAAACGTCGGTTAACACCACATATACACAGTGCCAAATCCCAGAAGACTGCTTTCTGGATAATGTTTGTTCAAAATGTCACATCATTAGCCATAATTCTTCTGTCTCTAAGCTGTGGGATTAACCATACCTCCAACATTTTTGCAAAAGACAAGGCATTAACAGATCCACCAAAGAAATAGGGGGAAATCAAATGAGGCAAGTCATACCAGCCCACATCACATGTGGTGGATTATGCTCAACTCCACCATGAACTGCAGATTCTCCTTAGCTCACAACACCACAATTTCTGTCATGGATATTGCGATAAATTGCACTTGCTTGAAGTAACGTTGTAAAGGATGAGAATGGTGATCTGCTTGCAGATTCCCACAACATTTTGAAGAGGTGGAGGAACTGCTTCTCTCAGTTACTGAACGTACATAGGCAGATAGAAATACAGGGTCCGGCAGGGATGTGTGATGTATATGTGATGGGTATAAAAGTGGGGTAGGGGGACTAGCGGATCCGCAATGGTTGGCAGTTACTCGCTGTTAGACACCATTTCAGTAGCTATGGAACCATGGACGATTGAACATCGCATCTTTGTTTTTGAGATGTGTATTCAAACGGGTAGTCTGGTGGTGCTTATGCAGCACAGATTTCGTACTCACTTCAATGTTGGTCGACATAGTGTCATTTCATCTTGAAACACAATATTGAAGTGGGTGAAGAACTTCAGGACAACTGGATCTGTGAGACCGGGTACAGCTTGGGGAGGCGACTGAACTGTGAGGACTCCGGAAAACATCAAAAGAGTTTGACAAGCTGTGGAGACCAGCCCATGTCAGTCAGCGGTACGGCACACTCACACTCTATGGATGTTAGAGAGGTCAGTTTGCCGAATTTTACACTTTCACCTTCACTATCACCTGAACAAAATCATGGTGTTTCAAGAACTGCAGCAGAATTATTTCATATGGAGGTTTACGTTTGCTGAAAGAATGCTGGAAGTGCTGAGGGATGACACTGTTCTCATCACAAGTGATGAGGCGCATTTTCACATTTACTGACAGTAGTAATTATCGGGGAGATATGATTGCTATCAACTTCATACAAAATTTTATCCAATATTCTTCCCTCAAGTTTATGTCCATATATAGATTGAATTATTGGAGATCTTCAGTGTGGGTTTTGACGTAACAGATCAACTACTGATCATATCTTCTGCATTCATCACATACTGGAGAAAAATTGGAAGTACAAGGAGGCAGTCCATCACCTATTCATAGACTTCAAGACACATAGTAAACATAAGCAGCGGCACGCACACAGGGAGCCTACACAGAATAACACCTGTACAGTGCAGTGTAACACTACGTGAGCGTACAGACCTGATGATGGTCGTTTGCGGCCGAAACATGCAGTGTAAAAGAAAGCAAGACGAAAGACCTACAATAAATTGTTGCACTTAGGACGGAGTTTATATCATATATACTTCAAGAAAGCCTATAATTCAGTTGGGAGGGAAGTATTGTACAATATTCTGAGAGAGTTTGGGGTACCCGCTTCCCACCGCGGCAGCCCAGGTTTGGTCAAGTGGGATTTGTGGTAGACAAAGTGGTGCTGGGGCAGGTTTTCTCTGAGTACTTCGGTTTCCCCTGCCAATCTTCATTCCATCAATTGCTCCACAATCACCCTCACCTATCATCTGGGGCTGGTACAATAGGCCAGAAGTGGCCATAGTACAAGGGACTTAATCCCGCCTCACTAGCAATAATAAAAAAAAATACCCATGAAACTAGTGAGGCTGATTAAAATGTGTTTAAATGAAACGTATGGTAAAGTCTGTATAGGTAAACATTTGTCTGATAATCCCCCTATCCAAAATGGTCTAAAACGAGATGCTTTATCGCCACTCCTTTTCAACTTTGCTTTAGAATATGCCATTAGGAAGGTCCAGGAAAACCAGGTGGGACTGAAATTGAATACGACACATCAGCTGTTGATCAAATGCTGATGATGTGAATCTACTGGGAGATAATACAGATACCATAAAGAGAAACACACAAACTTTAATTGATGCTAGTAAGGACTGAACTCGAGTAATGCTCATTATCATTCAGTCCACAGCCTTTTGTCTCCTCGTCTGCTGTCCAAAAACATAAAAATTAGAATATACAAAACTATAATTTTGCCTGTCATTCTGTATGGGTGTGAAACTTGGTCTCTGACATTAAGGGACGAACATAGACTGAGGGTGCTTGTGAAGAGGGTGTTGAGGAGAATACTTGGACCGAAGAGAGATGAAGTGACAGGAGGTTGGAGAAAACTGCATAATGAGGAGCTTCATAACTTGTACTCTTATCCAAGTATAATGAAAATGATCAAGTCAAGGATGAGGTGAGCAGGGCATGTAGCACGAATGGGGGAGAATAGGAATGCATATAGGATATTGGTGGGAAAGCCAGATGGAAAGAGGCCACTGGCAAGACCAAGGCATAGGTGGGTGGACTGTATTAAAATGGATCTTAGTGAGATAGGGCGGTATGGACTGAATTGATCTGGCCCAGGATAGGGACCAGTGGATGGCTCTTGTGGACATGGTAATGAACCTTCAGGTTCCATAAAATACTGGGAAGCTCTTGAGTAGCTGTACAACTGGCGGCTTCTCAAGAAGGGCTCAGCTCCGTGACTAAGAATAATGAAGGATTCTATCTAATGTGATATAATTCTGTGTAGCTCTCTGAAAGTGAACTAACTCCACCTTCAGGGATGAAGAATAATCCAAGAAACCAGCATGAAGCAGGTAGTAAGCAACAGACTACACAAATCCCAGAAAACAGACCTCTTCATAACTACTGCTAAAAACTACAAAAACAAGAACGATTTTGGAACTGTTGCAGAGTGGCATTTGTGCTGCTACAGGTGGCACAATATAACAGCAGGAAGCTACAGCAAGTTTTTAAAATCCTTATAAGGAAATACTGAAACACACGGACTTCTACAAATTTGCACAAGAAAACATTCATGGTATAATATAATTTTATATGAGTCAGGACAACACCACAGAAAATGGAAAAGAGTTAAAGGAACATTTTTATAACTGTGCACATTTCCAAACACTAGTGAAAACCACTGCTACATACCATTAAATGACAACACAACGAGGGTTTTCAGAGTTTCTGGTTCAAGTATGCTCTTTGATACAGGTGTCTTGAGGCAGTGCTCATGACTTGCCCATACTGCATAGTATTATACCATCCTGTAGAGCAATGTTGCCTGCACATATGATAGAAAGCGGTGGATGAGTGTTGCTGGAAAAAGTCAGTGACTACACTGTCAAGTTCATGCAACCTGATGGCCCATTACCATCCTTCCACTGGCTACAGAAGGCTGACATTCATTGGATTGATATGGAAAGCATACTCGAAGTAATAAAACCACTGACAACAGGGACAGGACGTCAGTAAATCTTCCATTAAGAGATACAGAAGAATACAACTGAACTATTCCAAGAAAAGTGAAGAAATTGACTGCCACTGGATAAAAGGATAACACATTCACATGCATGACATGGAAGGACATTGTTAACTGAAGCCATGCTTACGAGTTTTATAATGTGAAATGTGACCAAATGTGTATCATTATAACTGACAATCATAAATTAGCTGAGGACTGGGAACAAATTCTAAAATGTACACTGTACATTGAGGAAACTGCTGTCTCCTCAAATTTACACCTGGTTGTCCTTTACCGAACAAATATTATATACATGAAAGTTGTATGATTTGTTTCAGGAGTAATTTCATCAAGTATACTAATTTATACTTTGGAAAACTGAAGTTACAACAAAGTATCTTATGTCACTTGGTAGCTTCTCATGTGAATTCCATACAATTTAAGTTTCATCCAGACTTCTCCAATAATTTCAAAGATAATTTTTTTTTTTTTATAATTTAATGTTTCTGTGACTGTATGTGCAAACAGCTATCATCATATATACTTTAGCATTCTCTGTCTTCGATACCACTGAGTTATATGACAAAATGTTATGCACTTTTACCTATGTCAAACCACCGTATGGTTATACCAAGCTCCATTCAAATACAAAAATTCATCTGCACATACTTCTGGCAATATTTGTTGGTTTGGCATGGAATACTTGCTACAACATTGTGACACACAGGCTGTCTCTAGGAAACTGACTGACAAAACACGTTTCCATGTCAACAAACATTCAACATACGTTTCCGTGTAGATGAACTGTCAACAAACATTTCCTAGGACAAACGAGACTAAATAATCAGCCATTCAGATAAGAATTTGTCATTCATCTTTCATGATTCACTTGTAAACCAGGTGAGCGTGATTTGTAAATCAGAACCAATTTAGTCACAAAAGAAGAAAGACAAGAAGAGAAGACAGTCACAGTCCAATCAGAATGGAGAGAGTCTTAGGCAGTAATTGATTGTGATTAAGGGTGATTGTAATAGAAGGTATTAATAAATCCAACCCAGAACCAGATATTATTGGTCATGGAGCCATAAACACGTGACAATATAATGATATCAGGCTCCAAAATATATTTAGGTCATTCAAAAATGAATGACACTCCCTCCATAACTCCGGAAAAGTAGCAGTGTCAAATGTGAGCCAGTGTATGTGGGAAGACATACTATATTGCCGCCTATGGCCACGAGATGACATTGCTACTGTGCACAGGTCGAACAGTGCTGCATCATTCGTGGTGGTGTGCAGGTGCAGTCATGGACACTGCTCAGACATCACGGAAGCAGGCAATAACAGGCAACGGTGGACTGGTGGTTTCTCTGGAGGGAAGGAGTGGCTGCTTCACACATTCACACGAGGTTAGCAGCCGTATGTGGGGATGCAGCACCAAGTCACAGAACCGTGTTTTGCTGGATAGCAGAGTTCAAATATGGCAAGGACTGTGCTGGAAAAGGCAAAAGCGGTGGCCGTCCAGCAACAGCATGCACACCGGACAGTACCCAGCACATGTCCAACTTGATACTAGAGAACATGCGCATCACTTTCGATGATCTAGAGAACACAACAGGTTTGTCATGCGGAACACTGCACACCATCATCCATCAGGACTTGAAGATGAAAAAGGTCTGTGCTCAATGGGTGCCCCATTCTCTCACCATTGCACAGAAGCAGAAGCGTGTGGAGACATGCCAACAATTGCTGCAGCTCTATAGCGCGGATCCGGCAGAGTTCTTTAAGCGTCTAGTCACCGTCGTCAAGTCATGGTTCTGACACGAGACTCCAGAAAAGAAACGCCAATCCCTGGAGTGGAAGCACACTGGAAGCCCTCCTCCCAAGAAGTCACGACCAGGACCATTCGTCCAGAAGCAAATGGTGACTGTGTTCTTGGATCAGGAGGGGATCCTTCTGTTGGATTGGCTGCCCCCAATACAACCATCAACAGTGATCGGTACTGCAATTCACTGTGCCAACTCCACCTACACATTCAGCAACGCCACCACGGAAAATGGGGGTGCGGCATTCTTCTCCAAACATGACAATGCATGGCCACACATCAGTCAGCAGACCACTGACACCCTGGGTGCTCTAAGGTACACCATGCTACCTCATCTGCCATACTCGCTCAATCTTGCCCCTAGTGACTACGCTCTATTCGATGCAATGAAATACGTCATGCGGGGTAAGACATTCACCTCCAATGACGAGCTTCAGGCAGTTGTCCAGCAGTGGCGCCGGGATACCCCAGAGAATGGTTCGCTGTGCAAGCACAGAAACTGCCAGAACGAGGGCAAAGGTGCAGAAACATTGGCAGGGAATGCCTCTAATATAATCTGTATGTATTTTGTTTCAATAAATGGTTACTGTGAAGAAAAAACATTTAGTGTCAATCATTTTTGAATGCCCCTAGTAAAAGCATTCTGTAAGGTCTGCAGAGATAATTTACCATGTTTATGGGCCATCTTCTTTGAGGCAAGTGCTCTCTCTAGTTGCTGGATACACCACTGCAATTCCAGCTCAAACTGCTGCACTGTATTGCTGTCAGGATCTGCATTGCTGCCAAGCAGCTGGGGCAGGACCTTCTCTTTCCCTGCCTGGCAACAAACAAGGTCCATATGAAAGAAACATGACTACTGGTGTCGTGCTGCTGCATCTGATTAACAACCAAGAAATGAGATGCTGCACGGAAGAAAATAATTTCTAACTTATTAAAATGTACAGCAAAACCAGCAGTGTGCAAAATCTGTAGTAGTAAACATTTTCACTGTGTTAAAGATGTCAAGACAGCCTCAAAGTTTCATTCATGTTCATAATATTCAACACAAAAAAGAAAGTTTTGTGCAGCCGTTACAGTCACATTTATAATCTACTGCCGTAACAAACTGTACCTGCCCAACTACGGTTCATCAGATATTGCCATCAAATAGAAAAGAAAGTACAGATTTGCTATATCAGTCACCATATAAAATTTCATGATCTGTCATTGAATGGTGCCAGTATCACTCCCATCACACTTCCCAGCATGTGGTACTGCCGATGGCAAGAAATTAAACTTTACACCCCAATGCACTAGGCTGTAAAATATAGACGCATAGTTTTCCATGTGCTTAACTAATTACGCACCATGCCATGAAGGTGTATGGGGGAGTGGATGTACAGACCCAAGTTTTCTTGACCTCAGCACTAGCTGGAGTTGAGTGGTCAGCTCCACACCCTGGCAACTTCACTACCGGGGGAAAGAGCCCCTGCTACCCACTAGATAGGAGACTGGGTGGGTCCCAGAGTCACTTTGGTTGACACAGAGCGGTAGACTGAAGTAAAATTAAACATGGTGCACTGCACACACTAAAACCATATTTTATAAGCAGCAGGTAAGTGAAAATGCCAGGATGAAGTGAATTCAAATGGCAGCACATACAGCCCTAAAATAATTCATACATTTACCTGAGCTGCAGGTCTCTATTGGGCTGTACAGTGACAGCATGAATCTAAATAGGTTTACAGACTCTGTATACCTATAGTGAGCTAGAACATGTTCCTCTGCACATCATCTCTTATGTCTATCAAGTTGTATGATAGCAGGAATCTAAACAACATTTCCCACTTACAGTACCTAAAAAATGTTTCTCCAGTCCCAAAAAAAGTATCTTAAATGTTTCACTACATGCAGCTACATTTTCAGAAAGCAAGTATATTAAATCTTATTGTTTACTTATTTGGAAATGTGCATGGGTAGAATTATATTGTAAATAATTGTTGCGAACTTTGTAAGCCCCCTCACAACAGGTGGGAAAACCCTAGGCATGTCACAACCCACTGTTTGAGAATCCACAAGTTAAATGATAATGCAACTGTCACTTTCTGCATAAAGTACAGAATGCATGTCAGAAATTTCCTCAATAGAAGCTCTGTAAAACAGTACAAATCTTACAAAGAAAAGTCTGTCCATAATCGAACCATCAATCTTCCTAAAGTTATAAGTTGTTCTGTATGCCACAGCTGAGATGCATGAAAGGGAGGGTAACAACAGTGTCTGCTAGTGATAGTGGTACAAATAAGGGAACCGCCTTCTCTGTACTACTGAACACATAAACAGAGGCTGAACTACATCCTGTGGCAGGTGCAGCAGCAAAGCTACTGAACAAGGCCATAGCTCACATTCCACTGAACCTACTGCACATCACCATGAAAAGCACAGTCTTCTCCTTCTCTATCAACACCTCAGGGCTGAAGTGGTAAAATGCAAACAAGAGTATGCCTATATGCAGCAAGACTAGTTCTTTTACATCACATCTGTTTAATCATCTCATTCTTATAGGTAAGTTCTAGATTTTGAATTTAATTTTCTGACGTCTTTGTTCATTCATATTACCTCTCATGCCTTCCTTTTTTACAATTTTCTAAGTGCAAGTTTATAATATGGTAATCACCTACTTCGGGTAACCTGGATTATTTTAATTTACAAAAACCCTCCACCCTCAAAAGCCATTCAAAGTTACGGGGCATACGTTTGTTAGCATATGTATATATGGATCATTAATACTACACAACACCCACATTTGAAAATACGAATCGTCACCGTTTATATATATATAACCATAAAATTTTCATTTCGTTAGACATCAGAAGGACATGAATTTCGCTGTTCCTCTGCCTTCAATATACAATTTAAAAAATTAACTGTAACCCTATTAAACAGTCTTACCCGCTGTCTTCGATTAAACATCTAGCACGATGGCACGACGAGCACGACCGACACTACGCATCTATATGCATGTCATCAGACGCGTTTCGAAACCAAAGGAACAAACCTTACGGATCGCGAATTCTGCTGAGCCGTTTTCCGAATCTGATGTCAACAAAGCGCAACGAAGTACAAAAGGATCAATGACACAGGATCTAGGATATCGTGTATGCAACAGTTGTAGTTCGCACAATCGATATCGGTGGTACAGTTTGTAAACCATGGATAGCAGGGACAAGAAGTCAACAGTGGTCAACAGGTACTCGGTGACGCTGTATTGGACCCTAGTAATTTCATTCTTCCATTTTCTGTATTTTGAATATGTTTGTGTTCAGTTTCGCTAATTGTTTTCTCGTCCACTCTTTTGCGGCACAATTCATAAAATTCATCGATTCAGTTGACCAAAATGCTCCATTTCGCCACTTAGTGAAAAAATTATAAGCGGTTGGAAGGTGGGACCATTTTTAATATTTGATAAAATAAACCTTGTGGCCCGTAGTACGCAAGCGAACTATAGCGACCGAGCGACCGCTGCTTGTCAGCGAAGTTAGTGCCAACTTTAGCGGATAGAGAGTGTCACGTGGTCAGCGCAACGGATTCCCACGGCTGTTAATCTCGGGTTACTAGACTGGAGCTGCTATTTCCATGAAACAGCTCCTCATTTATCATCACGAGGCTGATTAGACCCCGTTCCAAACCCACTACTTCTCAGAAAATCTGGTAGCGCTGGGGATCGAACCCGGGACCTCTGGATCTGTAGTCAGGAACTCTGACCACTATACTACAGAGGCGAATGAAACGAAAATTAGTATGCAGCGTTCCAATTGTACATATTATATTACTTTCCTCCATATAAGTATGCGTTGCCGAGTGATCAGTTAGCAACATAATAGCACGCACCACACTTGTGGTCGTTGTAAGTGGTGCACAGTTCAGAAACAACCAGTCTGCGTAGCTTATTTACAGGCTGACAATCTCTTCCTAATTTCTGCAACTAACGGAAAGTGGCCAGTATCACCATGTATCACAGTCACCTCCTCCAAACGAAAGAACATCGAGTACACTTATTGAATGTCACGGTCATGTGTGTAGCTCGTTTGCTTTGAATTTCAGAAGCACTGAATTGAAATCAGACCAAAGACAGCTGTCCTGGTTTTCCTCAGTTTATCCAAGCATGTGCTGGGATCGTACCCAAAACTATACCACAAATGCTGCCTTCCACATCTATTCTGATGCATTATTTAATGACTATTATCATTTGACACTATACAGAATGTACAACACTCTGTGGTAGATAGATGGGTTCAGTGTGATCATACGTAGGGAAGTAAAAAATTATTCTCAATCTTGTTTTTTCAAATTTATATAAACAAAAGTAGGGGTTCAACAAGTACGTCATTTTTCTACATAGTCTCCTTCCTTTTAGACACACTTTGGTCCAGCGGTCCACAAGCTTGCGTATTCCTTCCAAGAACAAGGTTTTCGGTATGGTCGCACAACCATTTATGCACTGCTCCCCACACTACTTTGTCCGTAGAAAATCGACAACCCCGCAAAGCATCTTTTAGCAGTCCAAAGAGATTATAGTCGGAAGGAGCGAGATCTGGGCTGTAGGCAGGATGTTCCAGCACATGAAAACCCAAATGGTTAATGGTTTCAATGGTCTGACCGACCATGTGTGTGCATGCATTGTCATGCAACAACAACACTTTCTTTGACAATAGGCCTCGGCGTTTGGTGCGAACTCTTGGCTTCAGATTGTTGGCCAGCAAATCACTGTTGATCGTATATTCTTTTTCCAGTATAGGCCTGTTTGAGTCCCAAATAATGGTTAGCTTCACCTTTCCTGAGGAAGATTGAGTCTTGAATTTCTTCCTTGTTAGTGATCCCAGGTGTTTCCACGCCATGCTCTGGCTTTTGGATTCTGGCTCATAGTGATGGACCCACGTTTCATTTCTTGTAACTATTCTGCTTAAAAATTCTTTGCCTTCATTGTTGTAGCAGTCGAGTAAGCGTTGGCAGATCTCAACATGTTTGTGCTTGTGCTCTGCGGTAAGCTCTCGTGGCACCCATCTCGCACAACATTATGGAAGCCGAGCTCGTCGTGGATGATTTCATAAGCAGAACCATGACTAATCTGCAGAGAACATGCTACCTCATTGACAGTAACTCGCCGGTTCACCAGTACCATCTCTCGAGCTTGCTGAATCATCTCATCACTGGTGGAGGTTGACGGGCGTACTGCTCCCTCTTCGTGTGTCACGCTTGTCCGACCACTTTTAAACTTCTCGATCCACTCATACACACTTCTATGAGGTAGAGCACTGTTTCTGTATTGTGTTGAAAGACTCTGATGAATTTCAGCCCCTGACACCTTCCACCAGAGAAATTGGATCACTGTTCTTTGTTCCTCCTTGGTGCACACTACTAGCAGAGCGGCCATGTTTACACTGTCACAGAATCAAGGAAAATGACGCGATCAAGGTCAAACTTCGATCATGTGACCACAGCAGTACCAACTCCAAGCATGCATGCTCAGAAGGCAGGGTGACAAACCTAAATTTGTTATATTTTAGCGTCCTGTTGCACTGATTTAAGTCCATGATTTATTTCAACCGTCTTCCAGTGCATACACTCATCTATCTCCTCCTCTCTCTCGCACTACATGTTTCGGCACAAAAGTGCCATCTTCAGGTGCTTATTCGATTTACGCTAAACTAGTTCATTGCATGCCTTGTCGTCTTCATATTAAGATAACTAAAATATATATTTATCATATATATTGATAAATGTTAAATGTTAAAAATATTAAAATTGTTCAAGATTTTTCATTCCTACGTCGTATCTCACTACGCGAGTCACACCTATCCTCTTCTGTCAGAGCACTCTTTCACTATCGTGTGTGTATTGTGCTTTGTGTTGTGTCTTGCTCCTGTGACTGTGTGTGTTATACTGCTGGGCCTGCTGGGTATGTGTGTGTGTATATATGATGTCCACGAGTATTTGGATGAAACCTTTGGGAACAGATGGGTTGGATGTGGAGGCCCTATAACCTGGCCCCTTTGCTCCCCTGATTTGACTCCATTGGATTTCTTTCTCTGGGGGTACACACAAAGCCTGGTGTATGAGACTACTGGAGACACAACATGATTTGGTGGCAAGAATTGCAGTAGCAGCTGGAACCATCCAGGAAATGCCAGGAAACTTTCAAATAGTTCAGCATGGCCAGGCAGTGCAGAACATGCAATGAAGTCGGTGACTGCCATTTTGAGCAACTTTTATAATGAAAAAATAATGATATCCCCTAAAATTTATGCAACCTCTCAGAAAATTCTGTGACCCATAGTGCCAAAGAAGCGTTTCTGGACATGGGGGTATTAAGAAAATATGATCAGTTTGAACCCATCTACCTACTACAGATCTTTGTTACATATATTTATTTACACTCTGTATAATCTGAATTATTGAAAGGATCGTCAATCAAACCATAAATAAACGAGAAAAACAAAACAGATACAGTTATACTTGAATGCCATCTTGTATCAAGAAAAATTTTTGTGTCTCTTCCTGTAAAGTCAAGTGATAAATATGAAAGTTGTGACAGAGAACAACGTTCTTGACAGATTTCTGATACATCAAAATTTATTAATGTGATTCCATTATCACTACTAGTTTCTCACGCTCAGTTGCCACATCACATCACATGGTGAAACAGGAACTTCTGCGTCTCACAGTAGCTGGTTACTTATTAGGTTACATTTTTCAGTGAAAAATCTACAGGGAAGGTGTGTGTCAAGAAAGATCACTCTTTCAACAAAACTGTCATTCCTCATCACTGTAAAGTGCAAAATTTATGCAGTTCAACCAGAAAATAAAGCATTTAATTTAATTATATCAAGATTGTACAAAGCTCTGTCACAGTTGCTTAATCACGTAATCACAGACTAGACGGTATTCCACATATCTGTACAACTCAAAACTGAGTTCATAAGTACATATTGACTATCTCAATGAAAACAGAAAACCAGATAAACTCTGCTTGTTAAATAAAATCTGTCACATTCCAAGTGATTTAACTACAGCAGCTGATAATATATTTGTGGATAGTACAAGATTTAATGGCCTATCAGACCATGCTGCCTAATTTCTTACAAGTAATGATACTGCTACAGGGGCTAACTTAAACTGAAAATTTGCTATGATTAAGATTCCATCACAAATTACATTGTCAACAGTAAAGACCACATCTTCAAAATTTTAATATTACACTTCTCCCTGTTTATGTCTCTGCAAAAGTTCAAAGTAATTTTACAGTTAATACCAAATTCAAAACACTGCCCATGTTTTCCTGATACTGGGAGTAAGAACGGCCACTGTTGATTTCTGCATAATGTTGCAAATTGATAGAAAGGTATTGCAGAAGATAATATAAATGAATTCATTGTACAATTATAAAAGACAAGTCCGTCCAGTGTGACTATTTCATAAAGTGAGAAAACTGAAATAGTCACACTGGACGGACTTGTCTTTTATAATTGTAACTGTTAGTGTGACGGACCAAAAAATGAAACAAATCGAATTCATTGTAATTACACTTTGAGCTTCTTCATCACCAATAGTAAAGTGACTGCCATATGTCTATATATACAGTGCATTCATGTAACTAATAGCTGCTGCACAAGTACATTATGTATATCTTTGCATGGATCACAACCTCCATCCAGCCAACATATGTACTTTTCAGAATGTGTGGGGATAGTACTTGAAGTTCACATCAGCTGTGTCCATGGAGAGTGAGAATTTGCATGGGACATACAGACTCACAACCTGCAACACAATCCGTCATATAATCATATCAACTCTATGCCCATAACATTATCCCTGTGATGAGTAGGCATGAAAGTGAAAGTCTGCACACAAGAATGCTTCTGTCAGTACATACATACACATTACATATGCGATCTTGGTTATGTAGACAAAGTGTCGTCAGATTTATGCTGACTGGACTTTTCATTTATGATTACAAAATGTGTGCTAACAATACAGATCTACCTTCAGTAGCAATGGCAATAAAAATGAAATGCAGGAATCAAAATTCTGAAAAAATCTGTGAACTAATAATTTCAAATTATAATTTAACTTGAGTGAATGACGTGCTGTGAGCCAAATTTGTCAATGTCTATTGAAAATCTAAAATTAGAACAATCTGCATTCCCTATGGCCTGAAGTTAATGAACTAATAGTAGCTGTGTGAAGGAAATGAGAGTACCCACCCTGTACATCTCGTCTGATGCACTGGGATCAATAGTGCCATGTTTCAGTGTATGTTCAGGCAACAAAGGGAGTGTAGAATGAAGCTCAAGGGAAGCTGATGTTCTACGGTCTTGGCCATGCTGCTGGAAGTTGTCATGTGCCTGCTGTCTAGGACCAACATCCAAATGCTTTGCAGGGGGAATATTTTCCTTTCGAAGCTGATGTGGGTTTTCAGCTTCAACTTTGGGAAAAACCTTCCTGAGATACTGTAGTGGATCTAAAATTGGGGTGGGCAGTGGGATTGGGGGTGAGAAAGTCAGAGAGGAGCTGTCACTTACTGCAGGCAACCAAGATGTCTGTGTCCGCTCAGCTGAAACATACAGTTTTTATTTTTGCATTTGTTCATCTTGTTTATATTTAATTACTAACTGCAATAGCTGTCACACAATCAGTACGTACTGTTATGATATACTGTTGTGCCACTATATGTTGACCTAGAGTCAGTCACCATCAGGTGGATGAAATATATTTCATATCTGCGGTATCCACTAAATCTGCATAGCATTAGAAGAACTAGTTTCCTATAATGTAAATTACTCAATGGGGATCCACCTTGTGAACTATATAGATTATTTGAAGTAATAAAACACAGTCAATTAAGAGTGAAATACAATAAAACTGAAACAAAATGAATTAATTATATTATAATTATAATTGGGCCACATTGTAGTGTAGTTGGTTGAGGCATTTTGCCACAAGCTGAAAGGCCATGGGTTCGAGTCCCAATGAGGTGGATTTTTTTTCAATTTCCCTATTCCTTACAGCTGCACTGTGACCCTGTGTTCGACTCAGCCTCTAACAGAAATGAGTACCAGGAATCTTCCTGGCAGGTAAAAGGCGGCTGGCGCATAAGGCTGACAATTGTACTGCCATCTGTGAGCTGATTGTCTAGAGAAAATGTGGGAGCCTCAATGTCTCACAACCTTAAGGGCCTTTACAGCCTGTTACAGGGATAGTTTTACTTTTTTTACCTTAATTTATTATTATTGATTTTCACATGAATGCTGTTACAGTACTCTGTATACTGCATATTTTTCATTTGTGTGTTGTCAATCACTATGTAGTAAGGGTATGTCCATATATTCTTTATAAGAATATTTCTTATAGAGGAATTCATTGTGTAAATTACAAGTGAAGTTCGTTATTACAGGTTATATAGACAGAATGGACAAACTGTCATGCTTTGTACATTGTTGTGCTCCTCAAATGGTAGCATGTCTGTTTCAACTTGCTAAAATTATTGGAATTATGTATTATACGTACATCACTAATTTCAAACCACTCATAAATTTCCTGTCTGGTGTAAATGCATAGCATGTGGCCAGTGTTCCCAGACATATTCATAACATAAAGGGATTTCCTTAAATTGTTTTGTTTTGTGATCCTCCATGTTGGTTTTATTAACAGAGCATTGTGCTATCTATATGGTGTATGACTTAGAGAAACTAACTGCCAGATTAATTAAATCTCCGATAACAGAACACAAACATTTGAAACTGCTGACTACCACTGGGACTGCTCTTAACCAGTTCAGTCCAGTTGACAAAGTATTTCCTCCAAATTCACTATAATGATCAGCTAAGTGTGGCTTACCTGACAATGGCTTGTCAAGTTGCACTAGAGGGGCCTCCATATTCATCTCCAATAGCCTCTCTCTCCCAAGACTTGCAAACAGCTTTCTGCAGCAAACAGTAGTCAAGAAAGCAAGAAAGGAAGGACATTTTTTACAGACCTGACAGCCTTTCAAAAGTCTCTGGATTACTTAAAGTTGCATGCGACACATACAAAATAAATGTTCCAAATTTGAATAGTTATAAATTTCTTTCTTAAAATACATACAAAATTTACTTAAATCATTATAAATTATTCCCCATTTAAAGGATGTAACAACAAAAATATGTGCTTTTTAATGTTTGCATCCTCTTGCATGAGTATAACTAATAATACAAATTTCAACGTCAACTCAACTATAATTTGTTAACTTTGTTCCACTGCATGTTTTGACCCTTATATAGTCATCCTCAGGTGTTGTGATTTACACGAATAATCAGATAAAATCAACCTGGAATATAGTAAAACATGAAACAGGAAAATCACATCTGACTGAACAGATACCATCTCTCCTTATAAATGATGAAAAAGTTGAGGACCCAGGAGAAATTGTAGATGCCTTCAATACTTTTTTCTAACAATTACAGAAAATATAAATTTGCATCAAGAAGTGGGAGATAATGTAATTTCATTTTTAAGAGAGGTATTTCCTAGAAAATTCCCTGGTATTAAAACCATTCCAACCACTGAAACTAGAATAAAAAGTATAATACATTCCCTCAAAACAAAAAACTCTTCAGGTTATGATGCAATAACAAGTAAAATTTTAAAAATTTGTGCATCTCTGATCAGTAGCCCATTAACTCACATCTGTAATCACTCAGTATCCACAGGAATCTTTCCTGCTCCTCTTAATATTTCAGTAGTAAGACCACTATAAAAAAGGGGACAAGACTAGTATGTCAAACTACAGACCAATTTCACTGCTAACTACTTTCTCTAAAGTTCTTGAAAAAGTTATGCACAATAGGTTAAGCCAATGGTTCTCAAACATCTTACCTCTGAGCCCCCTGACAAGAGAAAATACTCTCAGGCCCCCAGCCTGTTTTTTTTTTATCAAAATAGAAGTCATGGTATGTTTGACGTTTTATTCAGTTTATTTTGTGTTTTTCTACATACTATTTAGCAGTTTTATTACTCAAAATTAAAGTATCACAATATTAGGCCTACAATAAAAATGTAGTTTTAACACTTGCAATTAACCAAAATATATATTGAAATGAAATGATATTTAACTAACAAGTATTTAATTTTTTCTGCAAAAAAAATCAAACATTTAAATGTCAAAGTTCAGTGTGATGGATGGGCCTGCTTTTGAGAACAAAGTTTATCAGAATGTGGTGTAATATCGGAAATGGCCACTCTTAACTTCTTTAGCAATATTTAGCCTTGAATGATACTTTGACTTTATAGCTGCCAAAGCAGAAAAGCCTGTCTCGCATAAGTAAGTTGTTGCGAAAGGCATCAGGATCTTCAATGCTTTTTGGCTCAAAGTTGGGAATTCCTTGCCAATATGTATCCAGAACTCCAACAAAGACAATTTCTTAAATTTACTTTTTAATGAAGTATCACTAGTGAGACCGATGAGTAGTTCTTGCTCATTTACCTTCAGAGATGATGGCCCAGGAGCATTTTTGAATGGATTTTTAATCCAATTAAATTTATCAAAATCACTGCAAAAGTATTTTTCAAAATGAACTTTCAACATTATGAGATGATCAAGTAGGCAGCTTTTTTATGTCCATTGGAAGCACTGGATTATCAGTGTCTTGTACCATTGACACTAGAGTAGGGAACATGTCTAGCGTGTCACTTTCCATACTGTTTCTCCAGAGCTCTAATTTTCTCATGAATGCCTTCACTTTGTCATTCCAAGAAAGTACAGTTGCCTCATTCCCTTGAAGTGAAGTACTGAGGATATTTAGTTTCTCAAATATATCTGTGAGGTAAGCCATTTTCAATAAAAAATCCTTGTTGCTGAAACTGTCTGCCAGTGAGTGATTTTCCCCATTTAAAAAACAGAACACCTCATGCCTCAGCTTAAATTCTCTTTAATACCTTGCCTCTTGCAAGCCATCGAGCATCACTAAAAAACAAGAGAGCAGTGTGTTCGGCACCCATTTCCTCACACAGCATTTTAAAAAGTCTAGACTTCAGAGGATTTCAGAGGATGCGGCTGCTGCCGAACTATCAACGCTGTCTCTGGCATACGCGTTTTATAATTGCCGGTAAAGAGAATAATTATTAGTTATTTTAAAATTCATGATAATTAAAGCCTGTACTCATCAAAGTTTTTCTATATGTATTTTTATTTTTTGTTACTTTTCTAATTGATTTAGGGCAGTTTTAATTTTTTTCTATAGGAAAGTATGCTGTGCCCCCTTTTCAAGCCTTTCGCCCCCGCCCCTTGGTGGTCGCGCCCCACAGTTTGAGAACCACTGGGTTAAGCCATTATTTTCAGAGTAACAATATACTAGTCCCAGAACAGTTGGGCTTTAGGAAGGGAATTTCCATTGAAAATGCACCCTCTAAGCTAACAGACAGTGTGTTGAAATCTATTAATAAAAAAATGCACGTTGGTGGAATATTCTGTGACTTGGCAAAAGCTTTTGACTGTGTAAATCATGAAATTTTATTAACTAAATTACATTTTTTTGGCATTCAAGGAGCAACGTTAAGTTCGTTCAGATCCTACCTAATAGACTGAAATAAAATCATCAAATTCTATCCAAAGTACCTACTTTAACTGGGGAATAATAAAACATGGAGTTCCACAGGGGTCAATTTTGGGGCCTTTGTTTTTCTTAATTTATATAAACGACCTACCTCCTACACTAAGGACCTCATAAATACCTATAATATTTGCAGATGACACTAGTGTTATAGTTTCTGGTATAAATTTAGATGATTTCTGCATGTTATCAAGCAAGGTTCTTTTGCAAATGAGTAAATGGTTTTCTGCAAATAAGCTGTCCCTGAACCTAGAAAAAACAAATGTAATAAAATTTATAGCAAAAGCTCACCACAATATCCATTAAACATTGGATATAATGATAGATATATAGAAGAGGGAGTAAACACAAAATTCCTTGGCTTGCAAATTGATAATCATTTAAACTGGAAAAACCATATCAATCAGTTGATTCCAAAGATAAGTAAAGCATGTTATGCAGTTAGATTCATGTTACATATCAGTAACATTGACATTCTAAAATCAATCTACTTTGCTTACTTTCACTTTTTAATGAAGTATGGAATAATTTCCCGTAATTCCTGTAGAGATCTATTGAAGAGAATACAGATCTTAACTTTTCCTTGTGAATATATATATTCATTAATAAACTTCATTACAAATAACAAAGAACATTTGCAGAATAATGCGGATGTACACAGTGTTAACTCAAGACACAAATACTGTCTTCATAGACCAATTGTTAACCTCTCATGCTTTCAGAAAAGCACATATTATGCTGGGATTAAATTTTTAATAACCTGACATCTGATCTCAAAAATCTTATGAATGCAAAAGCATGATTTAAAATAGCACTGAAACGATACTTAAATACACATTCATTCTACTCTGTTGATGAATACCTGTTGTCTAGAAAATAACTTATGTATCATTAAATAGACTTATGTGTAGTCACTGTATATTCTTAGTTTCTCTTTTGTGAGAACTCCATTGGTACTGTACATATATCTTTGTATTTATATGACATATTCCACATCCTACAGTCATTTAGACTAACTTTGGATTCTTGGAATGCAATACAATGTAATGTAATGTTATGTAACACATTTTCATTATTTAACTGTAAAACTTGTATTCATATTTACATACACAGACTTAAAATGACTACTTTCTATGTACATTTATATTCTAACTGCTAGACGTTGATTGAAATAAGTTATATACGAGGGTTGGGACTTTAATAGTGGTACCTATTTATTTACAACTGATACAAAATAGATGCATGTTTTGAAGTTTTACTGTCCTTCAATGTGGTCACCAGCATTGTGTACACCCCGTTGCCAGCGATGTGGAAGTCGTAGGATACCTTTAGCAGCGCCTGTTGTGTTGATAGTTTGAATGGAGAGGTCTGCTGCCTGAAGAATCTCTGGAACAGTTCTGAAGTGAATGTCATGAAGTGGTTCCTTCATCTTAGGAATCAAGTCGAAGTCATAAGGGCTTAAGTCCAGGGAGTATGGTGGATGGTACAGCACTTCCCAGCCCCATCGATCAAACAAATCAGCCACAGCTTGCGCTGCATGTGGCCAAGCATTGTCCTGAAAAATGAGGGGTGTGTTCTGCAGAAAGTGTCGCCGCTTCTTTCTCAAACTTGGTCACAGGTTGTGTTCCAGAAATGAACAGTAATACTGTGCATTGACAATCTGCTGTTGGGGAACGTTATGCGTTAGGATATCACCATCACAGTCATACATGAGAATCACCATAACTTTCACATTGCTGGGTTTCTGACGACCTTTTGATTTTTGTGGTGGTTCCACCTTGCCACTGTTCTGTAAGCCAATGCAGATTCCCCACAAGCCTCTTGAAGACCTTGATGACATTGTCATGCTGTATGGCCTCTGGCACATTCAATTTTTATCCAACTCAACTGTTCCTGTTTCGAAAACATTGTGACAACACTTCATTAGACCCCCAGTTAACACGAGGCTATGTTCTTCTCGTCACTGCGCATGCACGTGATGTGGGAAAGGAGAGTCCATTTGCTCAGAGGTAAGGTAGGTATGTAACTAACGTGTGGTATAAGTGACATTATTTGGTTCCATTGCATGGAGTCTCTACAGCAGTGTTGCCACTATTAAAGTTCCAAATTTTCTAGACAGTCGGCTCAAAGATGGTGGTAAGATTGTCAGCCTTATGCGCTGGCTGTGCTTTACTCCCCAGGAAAATTATTTAATTAATTCCTGGTGCTCATTTCTGCTAGAGGCTGAGGGAACCCCAGGGCCATAGTGCGGCNCGTTTGTGTTAACTGTTTCTTGAGCACTAATTTGTCTTTTTTTCTAATAACCAGAATGTCGTTCTCTAATAATTTATGTGTATTAGTAATAATATCATACATAACTTACAATTGGTTTTCCAAGAACTAATTTATTATTACAGTATTTCCATAATTACTTACTGTTACTGTTGTTGTGTTGTCTAGTTTATGTGGTATGCTTTGCTGCGTGTTCTGTACTACTACTACTTATCACATTTTAAAGTTTCTATCTTCTTGTCACAGGATATGGGGCGAGTGTAGGAGTAAGGGCATAGGAGTGTGGAAGTATTTAGGGGGGTGGAGTGGTGTGGGGGCTGGTAGAGAGTTCTGGAATGGGCTGGGTTGTGAATGTTTGGATTTGCCTTTATTAAGATGTCATATATTGGGTTACAAGTGCCCATCATAAAGTAAAGTAAAAAGTAAAGCCATCCCTGTACCAGGCCGTGAAGGACTATTTCCACATCCTAGGATTTTTGCCTGTATGGATATATGGAAAATAAAGGAAATGAATTAATGATTGAAAGGCCCATAGGGTTGTGAGACATTGAGGGTCCCACATTATCTAGACAGTCGGCTCAAAGATGGTGGTAAGATTGTCAGCCTTATGCGCTGGCTGTGCTTTACTCCCCAGGAAAATTATTTAATTAATTTCTGGTGCTCATTTCTGCTAGAGGCTGAGGGAACCCCAGGGCCATAGTGCGGCTGGAAGGACTAGGTCAATTGAAAAAATTCAATAATCTCAACGGGACCTGAACCCGCAACCTTCCGGCTTGTAGCATAGTGCCTCAACCACTACGCTACTGCATATATGGTAACTGTAACATATTTTGTTGTCTTCCTATCATAAGTTATAGTATAATATTATTATAAATACACATAAATTATTATAGATTGACATCCTGGTAATAAGAAAGGAGATAAATTCGTGCTCAAGAAACAGTTTAGACAAAAGAATCTAGCCAATAATAGAAAAATCAGATGAAAAGATGGGTGGTCTACTACAGCAAGAGACACTAAGCTGAATAAACAATATGACACTTTTAAATTAGTAAAATAAATTTTTAATTTATATATAACTTGTATTTAAATCAACATCTAGCAGTTAGAATATAGATGTACATAGAAAGTAGACATTTTAAGCCTTACTTACTTATGGAGCTGAGCCCTTCTTGAGGAGAAGCTAAATCTGCAGCTACTCAAGAATTTCCCAGCATTTTATGAAACCCGAAGGTTCATTACTGTGTTCACAAGAGCCTTCCACTGGTCCCTATTCTGAGCCAGATCAATCCAATCCATACCATCCCATCATTTTAAGCGTATGTATGTAAATATGAAAACACTCTTTACAATTTAATAATGAAAATGTGTAAATCACAGCACCTGAGGATGACCCTATAAGGGTCGAAACATGTAGTGGAACAAAGTTAATAAATTATAGTGGCATTGATGGTGAAAGATATGGGATTATATAACTGTCAATTATGACAGTACTCTAACAATATCAGCAGTGCCTGTTGTCATAGTTGTGAACTATAATAAAGAGTGGAATGACGTTTTTGTTCTGTGAAGGGTCCCTCACATTAGCAAACTGCTACTTCATTACGATTATAAGCCTGACAGTAAAAGAATGGAAGATACACACCTTTTGCAGTAGATGTCCTGCAGCTGGCACTGTATTTCCAGCAAGTAGTCTGCAACACAAACAAATGAGTGGCTGAAGGGTATACACTTTATGAAGCAGGGTTGTGAAGTACTTTTATGCTCCTGTAGTCCTTCCAGACCCAAACAATTGTTAAAGGAATGCCAGTTTTCAAAGCAGTACAAATATGGAGAAGACATAAAATTCATTTCTTGTTTTCTTCCCATTTTTCATCTCCACCTTGTGCATTCTTATAGTAGAAATGAACATTAACCCCCCATAAGCCTCCTTCTGTGAGCACAGTGATCAGCCAAAGAGTTACCTTTAAAATGAATATCATGATTTTCTGAGCTTGACAATAGCTGGAGCAAGTTAACATGTATTTTGTTCAGAGTTTCTAAAAGTACCCAGGCTTTGATTGGTGCTGCCACTTAAGCAAGATATCCTTAACCTTTAAACACCGAACTTCTGAAATAGTCGTAAGCTTGAGCTGGCCGGATTTCATTTAAATGCCTGCTGCTGGTGCGCATTTAAATTCCTGTTGCCACTCTGCGTTTAAATGCCCATTCCTGTTAGGGAATTTAAACAATTTAAGCTTTGTGTTTAAAAATGCTGTATCTAACTCAATTTTTATGATAAATGGATGGAATTAACTTTGTTTGTATCAGCAAAGAACATAGTGTTGCATATTATAATGGAAGATTTGAAAACTTTTATACAAAGAGTTACACCCTATTTTCAATTTTTTTTTCTTTTAATTTTGATGCATACAGCATGACAGAATTGTTCTGCACTATAAATTCATTTCTGTTTGTAACACTTGACACAATTTAGCAGTCCCTGGTGTCATAAAACAGATGGAAGCAATAAAGTCATTTGTCTTCTGCTAGCACTGCTTACACCCTTCAGATTTTCAAATCTTTTGACTAAAGGACAGAAGAATGAAAGAATGGCTATTCAAGAGAAAGCTAGAGGGGCCCCTTCTTCAGCGCTAAGACCGTCCATTATAGCTGTAAAGATTATTGCCCTTTCTAGGGTTGTGAACAGAGAGTTGCATCATGGCTGAGATACAGAGTGCGATCTGTTTTCTGTGCGTTCATAGTGAAATTGAATACTGTAGTTTTATTTCAGCCTATATATATATATATATATATATAACAGATAATAACAAAAAAGGTATGTACATCGAATTTTACTGTATATTTTTAACGCATTAATCTGCAGANATCAAACAGATAACAACAAAAAAGGTATGTACATCGAATTTTACTGTATATTTTTAACACATTAATCTGCAGAATCTGCAATAAAAGTACTGGCTCGTGGATGAGTTTGGACATAACTCATACCTATATTGTTCACTTAGGTATCATTTTAATCCCTCTATTATGGTTTTACTCAAGTCTGTCTGGTAATTACTACATTTATAAATAAATATTTAGGACTGTGCATGTGCTTCTACTAGCGGCGTGTGCGCGCGCTTCCACTAGTGGAGTTTAAATGCCTGACTGGCCAAAACAGGGTACTTTGGCCACGACGACCATACTCATCACTGGCCAGTCGGGGCACTTTGGACGTTAAAGTTTAACTATGTCATATGTTTCGAGTTTAAGTCAAGGATAAGTTTGCCACCATGTGTACCACAGCACTTCTCAACTACAATAAACTGTACTCAGAATCAAGCTCAGAAGGATTAAATAACTCCTAAGTAGACAAAAACCTACATTTTCATGAAGAATGGTAGTCAGATACTTCGGTTTTATGATGTGCCCAGAGATAAACAATGTCCAGTAACACAACTGTGTGTTTATTCTGAAAGGGTTAATGCAAAGAAATAAAATTTAATTATCAGAAGCATAAGATTTATATCAGGACTGTAAGATGCAGTGTGCCAATGTCACCATGGTAACAATGCTGTGTCCACCAATTCATTAAGGAACTGATCAGTGCAGCTTATTATTTTATTCTGATTAAAAAGTGCTTTACTGTGGATTTTCTTGAATACCCTTCCCATGACAGGCTGTTGACCACCACCATCATAATCATCATCAGCAGCAGCAGCACCACCACCACCACCACCACCACTACTCTACCATCAGAAATAAAGTGAAAATGAAACACTGTGTGCCATTGAGAGATAAACTGAGATCCTGTAGAGTATATGCATACATAACATGGTTGGTGTGTTTTTACTAGGACTTGATCTACACAGTGTGTATTAGCTAAAATGAATAAGTAGATTACGGTTCATTTGCTAGAATGTGATTTGTAAGGTGTGGGTTTGCTGAAAATAGATCCAGGTAATGTGGGTTTGCCAAAATGGATCTACAAGGTGTGGCTAATTTGCTAGAAGTGGGTTTATATAATTTAAGTGGTTGGATATATAGTGGGATTGTCAGGTAGAAGATTACCAAAAGAGTTGTGAACAGGAGAAAACATAGCAGGTGGAAGGATCAAAGAAAGATTAGTAAGAAAAGAAGGTAAAACTAAAATTGAAGGAAAAATAAGTGAGCAGTTTAGGATATTATTGATATGACCTGAAGGCTATAATGGAGAATTAAAACCCTGGGGCCCAAAGCCCACTTATAGCACTGTTGCAGTGAGGAAGAAATAGTAATAATATAGGACAGACTTGCCTAAAATATGGGAAGCCGTGGTTGAGTGTCAGAGTAGGAATGACACAATACCCAGTCACTGCAGCTGTAATAATTAGGTCACTGTGAAATGCTGAGGTAGCTTGTCAGAGTCAATAAATCCCTAGGCTAGGTGAAGCATGTCACACAGATTCCACACAAATTAGATATGTGGCCAGTGTCAATACTAGCCAGTGGTTCACATAATGAGCAAGTAAATCAGTTAATAGCAAAAGCTGTACTAGTTAAGACAGGCACATTGGCAGAGACCCTTCAGCCAGTATCCTGCAGCAATGGAACACACTGGAGCTCTACTCTTCATAGCAGTCATTTCTGCCACACTAAGGAAGTGGATGCACTCCATATAGAATAATAGCAGAGTGTGATCAGTTTAGGAATTCTGAATTAGCTTAAATAGTGATGAGGATAAGAGCCATTTGTACCATACTGTAGGATAAAAAATGTAAATACGAGGGTCAGTCAAAAAGTTCCCAGAATGGTGGTACAGCACTCTAATGGTAGGACATACAGCAACGCTTACCTCATCACCTTCAAAGTAGGAACCTTGTACGCACACACACTTCCTCCGTTGATCCTGCCATTGCTAGAAGCAGTGGAGGAAGGCTTCTTTTGGAATCTTCTGGAGCTCAGCTGTCACATTCAATTTGATGTCCTCCATGGTTGTGAAATGTGTCCCCTTGAGGCCCATTTTCAGAGTAGGGAACAGCCAAAAGTCACTCAGAGCGAGATCCGGAGAGTACGGTGGTTGAGTGATGACAGGAATGTTTTTCTCGGCGAGGAATTGCTGCACAACAAGCAATGTGTGGTTCGGTGTGTTATCTTGATGCAGAAACCGCTGTCCCTGCCACTTGTCGCGCTGTTTCCTCTGAACCACATCGTGCAACCTCTGCAAAACTTGCATGTAGAAATGGCCAGTAACAGTACCAACTTCTTGCTTCAACTCCGCAATGGTCATTCTTCAATCACATCGAATCAATTGTCGTAATTTCCAATCATTTCTTCGGTTCTGGATGTCGAAGGTCTCCTGCTGCGCTGGTCATCCCCTAACGTCTCCTGCCCATTCTTAAACTGGGAAAACCGGTTGTAAACTGCGGATTTCTTTAGTACAGTATCACCGTAAACTTGCTGCAGGGCCAATAGCGTCTCTGAAGCAGATTTTCCCAATTTGCACATGAACTTGATGTTCACATGCTGTTCGAACTGCGACATTGCGCCGAATGACCAACAGTAACGACACTGTACACTGAAACCTGTCCAGACCTGTTGTGCCTGCGAGCAGACATTCTGAACTTCCCACCACAACAGTGTGTGTGCTATCTTATTGCTCGTTCTCCATCTGCAGGGGAATTCCAGGAACTTTTTGACTGACCTACGTAGTGTGAAACAATAATAATGTATATAGCCAGCCCCTGTGTCTTGAGCTGAGGTGCAGACATGCCTGAGGTAACTCCATTCACCTACCGAACTAACCGTTGTTGGCATCACCCTCAAGGATGCACAACCACAGTAGAACAAATATATATATATATAACAAGGAACTTTGTGAGTTACACAGGACACCTATCATGGTTACAGTTGTGAAATATGTGGGGCTACAACGGGCTAATCATGTAGCAGGAATGAGGCAGACAAGATATTCATACAGAACTTTCCTGGGGAAACATTTTGGAAGATGACCTCCTGGAATACTAAGAAGGAAATGGGAGGATAACAAAAATGTGGCTCTTCTGGAAATAGGGTTTGAGGGTGCAAGGTTTACAGAACTGGCCCACAGCCAAGTCAGATAGAAGACTTAGGTATTAAGGGTGCTGAATAATTTAACTGTTACCAGAATTGGTTGTTAGTCTAGTTAGTTAGTATGCATTTTATAAAAGAAAAAGAATAAGTGGAAGTATATATATATATATTTTTTTTCCCCATTTAAATGGCAGCATTCCATTGCCTTACATAGGTATAAATTATTTGTTAAAAGTTTAGTCAAACATAATTCTTTGTAATAATTAAAAAGGTCAGATGTTTGAGCATCAGTCTAACATTATTATTAGACCTTTCTGAGAAATATGTAGACAGGAATAACATGTAAAACTGCATATTCTATTGAAGAGGTCTGATGATGACATAAGGCTGAAGTTGAAACATGTAACCTTTCACATTATTTCAAATAAAAGCTGTTGTTTGACTGAGCTTTTAACACATATTTTACATTTGGAAGTGGCTTTGTCACTCCACTGAAACATCTAAAGAAAGGAAAATATGAAATTAATTCTTACATATGTAACTGAATATTCAACTGAAATAATATGCAAAAGTTGGCTGAGAACCAGATATCATTACCAGCAACTGATGTAAACAGCATTTGGATGAGTTCTTTCACTGACAGTACCAGATGTACTCGTAGCGACTTACTCTTAGTGCTGAATTTCTGCATAAATTCCTCATCCCAGTACGATGTGACAGTCACTGCATATTCCATGTATTCCATCCCAAGGTTTTCGGATGATATCTTCCTCTTATCAGGGATCTTCTTGGCATTAGATACTTCAGGTTCTGTACAGGAACCTGGGAATTCTATCACACTCTTTCCTCGCCGCTTCTTATGCCAAGTATGAAGTATTCTGGAAACAGCCCTTTAAGTACATATAGCTCAATCCCATGACCCCTTTCTGCATGATTATGGGTAAATTAAAGAAAAAAAACAAAAAATAAGCAAATTAGCAGTTGAATAATTATGCATCTTCAGCTATACTTACATTATTATCACGTGAATGTGCGACTATAGATAGGGTCTGGATTGGTAATTGGATTTATTGAAATCTTACAGAATGTAACTACACATAACTACAGAAATAACTTTAATTCACTCACTCTGCAGTTCACTACAGCATGTACAAAGTCTAAATTTCATGTATCTTCATCGGTTGCCACCTAGTAACGGCTTCCTATGCCGTAGCTTCCTCAGCTTGATGTTCATGTCCTGACTGGTCGGCGTCTGCCTCACAACTCACTCCAACAAACTCCCAGGCTGCTGGCCATCTCACACCACCTTCCTACTGAGTCCTATGTTATGACAGTTGGTCCTCCAGTGCTCCAATAGTTTCTACTGTGACCTTTGTTAGAGTTCTCAGGTTGCACTGCTATGTACACCATCTCCACTAGGGTTGGCTCCTTTCTCTCCAGATGTCTCCGTTACTTCCAGGCAAATGTTTGTCTCTTTTTGCCTGGCATTCTTATTAGCATATTGGCCTTTCCCAATTGGCATTCATCTTGATTATTATTTCTTTTTAAATGGCAGTTTTCCTGATTTGGTAGATATCCATCCAAGAGATGAAGAATACCTTGAAAGATCTTAAACTCTTCGTTATTAGTCTCTATCATGGCTTCCATTTTTCTCAATTGGTTTTTATTTTTCAGCTCCTATTTTGGCTTTCATGGCATTTATTTCAGCCAGCAGACATTCTAGTATTTGTTGTATCATTGTAGTGTGGCTGTATAGATACACAATGCAATCATTAATCCAATAATCGATTAATCACTCCAACTTCTGCCACCACCAGAACGTAACTACAAATAACTCTAGCGCTAACGGTAATCAACACACTCTGCAGTTTACTATAGCATGTACAAAGTCTTCTCAGTCTGCTGTATCTTCACCTGTTGTCACCTGGTAACGACTTCAAACACCATAGCTTCCTCAGCTTCAATGTTCACGTCCTTACTGGCCAGTGACTATCTCACAACACACTGCACTGAGTCTGAGTCTTATATTATGACCGAGGGTCAGTCGGACAGTCTGTCTTGGAATAAAGAACCCATATGGGGCTTACAACCAGATTTTTATTATTGTCAGGCAGTTGCAGGTTTGTTGATGTAATGCGCTCTCTCTGACAAGATGATGGGTCTGTTGTTTACAATTGCTGCTGGTCCTCGCCAGCACAGTAATTTTCAGTTCCGAGTCCCCTGGGACTTATTACCATATTTTACTGTCTCGGATTCAAGACTTCCCTTTTTGCCACCTCCTACTACTCGCAGGGCTATGGTGAAGGTATTTAACCCTGCCTCCACGCAGGATAACACACTGCATTCTATACTTGTCCTGCTTATAACACCTCAGCACGGACCACACAAAAACACCTCTCCCAAAAGTTATTCTATTAATGCATCATATAGGTATTGCATGGATCACGCAGAAAACGCCACTTCCCAGTTACTCCATTGTTGCGTGTTACAAATCTGTTGTGGCCATTGCCTAACAACACCCGTTATTTACAGAGCCATTACATAGCAACAGCTTTTGAATAGCTGCTTATTTCATGATCAGTGCCTAGCAGCTGGTCTATATGCCACATTATGAACAGAATAAGGAAATTTGCAAAAAATAATTTGAGACTGCAAGAAATCAAAATCTTTAAAAAAATTAAAATGAAGCTATTTTTAAGAAATATTTTAAAAATATTTAAGAATTTTAATATGTGAGAGCAGCAGTGATTTTCATGATATAGAACATATGACAGTTCAAAAGTGTGATTTAGCACACTATGGAATATTTAATAGTGGGCTCACATGTTTTACAGGTAAGCACCATCACCCCAAGCTCAGTCTTCTGAAACACACATTGGATACACTTACCTCTGATCACTACTTTCAGAATGTTTCTGTTCAAACATCTTATCTGGAACAGGGTTATCTGGAGACAGTGAATTCTCTATACTGTAGTTACTGTAACACAGACACAGGTTTGGATGCTGTCAGAAATACATAGTCTACATATGCTTTTCAGCAATTTATGAGCATCCATCCACTATGATTTTCCAGGATTCCTCCAGATGGAATTAATTATAAATCTTATTAAGAAAGTGCATAAGATTAAACCCTGAAATCCTTCTATGTTATCACATCTTTTAAAAAGTTAGTTGGAGAGAGACTGGAAAAGAACAAAAAGTGTTTGTTTATGTAAGAAATATGTATCATGCTGAATTTCCAAAAGTAGCCACAGTGTGCTTTAACCTTTAAACGCCGGACTTCGAAATAATGGTAAGCTTGAGCTGGCCGGAGTTTATTTAAATGCCTGCTGCTTGTGTGCGTTTAAATGCCCGTTGCTACGCTGCGTTTAAATGTCCGTTCCTGTTAGGCGCTTAATCAATTTTAAGCGTTGTGTTTAAAAATGCTCCATCTAGCTCAATTTTTATGATAAATGGATGGAAATAACTTTGTTTATATCAGAAAAGAACATAGTGTCGCATATTGTAACGGAAGATTTTAAATTTTTAATACAAAGTGTTGTACTCTATTTTCAATTTTTTGTGTTTTAATTTTGATGCATACTGCAAAAATGGTTTCCCAGTTCTTCACAGAGTTGTTCTGCATTATAAATTCATTTCTGTTTGTAACTCTTGACAAATTTTAGCAGTCTCTGGTGTCATAAAACAAATGGAAGCAATAAAATCGTTTGGTCTTCTGCTAGCACTGCTTACACCCTTCGGATTTTCGAATACTTGACTGAAGGTCAGAAGAATGAAAGAATGGCTATTCAAGAGAAAGCTATAGGGGTCCCCTCTTCAGTGATAAGATGTTCCGTTAGGGCTGCAAAAGCTTATTGCCCCTTCTATTTGAATGAACAGACAGCTGCATCGTGGCTGAGATACAGAGCGTGATGTCTTTTGTGTGCGTTCGTAGTGAAATCGAATACTGTAGTTTCATTTGAACCTATATATACATCAAGAAGGTAACAACAAAAAAGGTATGTACATCGAATTTTACACTATATTTTTAACATACCTATCTGCAGAATCTGCAACAAAATTACTGGATTGTGGATAAGTTTTGGCATAACTCATATGTATATTTTTATTTGCTGTTGTTCAGTAAGGTTTTATTTTAATTCCTCTATTAGGGTTTTACTCAAGTCGGTCTGGTAATTACTACATTTAAAAATAAATATTTAGGACTGTGCGCGCGCTTCCACTAGCGGAGTTTAAATGCCTGACTGGCCAAAACTGGGTACTTTGGCCATGACGACCTTACTCATGACTGGCACAAACGGGGCACTTCGGCACTTAAAGGTTAACTTGTGGTTTTTATTGCCTAAAGTAGAAACAGAAAAGAAGGACCCTATGGCATCACTTCCCAGAAGATAGAATTCTCCAGGCTGGTTGGTTATTTAATGATGCTATCAGTATTGAGACTGTATAGGGTGAGATGACAGGATGATTAGTGAATGATTAACTGAAAATGAACCAGTCATGGCCAAATCAGTATATTATCCTGGCATTTCTCTTGAGGGACTGAAGAAGAGCACATCTCCCAAATATAAGTCTAGAGCGTTATTCCTAGACCAGTGTGGTTGGCAGGATTCTTCAGAGAGTGTAAAATAATACAAATTTATTGTGGGTCACCTCATAGGTCTCTTTCCTTTAAATTGTAAATGCAGTGCCCCTTCTTGGCATATTTAGTCTTTCTATGTGACCATACCATTACAAATATTTCTCTTCTAACTTTACTAACGACTTCTGAATTCCAACTACTCTAAAATTTCATTTCTACTTTTATCCCTTCTTGTTTCTCCCTCAGTACTTCTAAAAAATTCTGTATCCATTAGGTTTTCCTTTGCTTCTTATTGTAACGGTCTGAATTTTGGTGTCTAATATTAGAAGTTATTTAAATGTACTTTATAAATTGTAGTTCTGGATTGTTTGGGGACATATTCCATAATATTCTTGCAAGATTAGATATACTACTTTAATATCATCAAATACCCTTACCACATAATGTGTCACTATATACACTTAATTCATGAAGTTAAAATGGTTAATTATTTATCATCATAACATTCGAATATATTATGCAATCTCCACGTTATTATTTGTAGTTCACTCATACATAAAAGTTGCATACTTTTCAAAGACTTAGCATAACATAAAACTTCTGCACCTCACAATGAACATGGGCGGTGTTATGCACTTAATGGGGCTCTACTTGATCTTATGTCACTTGTCTGCAAAGATGCCATTTTGGTATTGTTGATCATAGGGTGCAACGAGGAACCAAGATGGGACAGTCTTCAATGACACAATGTTCCTACTAAATGTAATAAAGAGGTAACATTATTTCTACCCCTACTGCTTTTCTAAAAGAATAGATGGAATAATGTCTGTAATATTGATGTCTAAGTAAAATCTTGGGATTGGCAGATACACAGATGTTACTAATGGGGATTCCAAAGAATAAAACATGTTTGAAACCTTAAAAAGGAATGAGATGTGGAAATTTACTTACAGGGAACAATGGCCTACTCACGACATACAGTTTGGGAGCAAATACATGAACTCTTGATACCTTTGTCTAGCTGACTTCACAATCCTATGAGAGCTCTTTCCCACTATCTTCTTAACTGCTTCTTCTAGCATCACTTTTCTGAGTGGTTGTAAACCTTAAAGATCAAACAAACAGCTCTAGTGTAATGGTGTTTTGTTCACATTCACACAAGGTTGTTGATCCACAAGTCCAAATTTTAACAGTCAGATAGCCATTATTTAAGGCATCCAAACAAAAACTTCACTTAACATTCCTATTAATGTGAAATTTGTTAAAATATTTTTGTACAAAGTTATTTAGATTATCGTTGAAGTGGAATCTAAGAACACTAACCATCCGATTATAGAACATTGATTCATACTTGTAAGTTGTAAAGAAATTGTTCTATGAATATATGTTTATGCAATGTTATATATAAAGCTAGGATTTTTATGCAGTATCATCATGCAAAATAGCTACATAGTTATGTAACAAAAAGCACTGAAATTTGTAGTAAAATGTGTGGATTCATTAAAATATGTAACATTATATAAAATTAATATTTAGTTTTGCAAGCTACCTTTATTTGCAATATTTTAGAACAATAACGGATTTTTGATGCACAGTACACAGAATATTTTCCATGTTTTCTGGGGTCATTGATTGTCTTTTATCTGACAGAATGTGTTTATAGGCTGAAAAGGAATTTTCTTCATCATAAGATATCACTGATGCATAATTTAACAATGGAATTTTCTAAAGAGGAATATTTTCAGAGGGGTCTGCATTACCTCCATTAAGTACCTGACAGACACTGGTAAATGTCGAAAATCCAGGGGTTCTTTTTAACACCGCCTGCAACTTGGTGGACACACTTTCACCAGCCTCCCTTTTCAGAACACTAAGCTTTTCGCTTGCATTCTTATTGTGTCCATAAATTCATGCAGAGGAAGTTCCTGGGTTTCTAAACATTATATACTCTTCAGAAACCAGCCAAAATTGCTTCAGATGTAGGCAATTGAATGCACTCTGGGATTCATGCACTGAAACATCAGACTCGGATAAGAACTTGGCTACAATTGATTTCACAGTTTCAAAGTGTTCACTGTAGAAGTTGACTACTTCTTGCTGGGTTCCTCATCTTGTAGGCACTGGTTCTAGGGGAGGGTGTCTGGCATGTGCTATTTCTAGGATTGCACTGGATGAGGGGCTCTTAGAAACACTTTTTGTCATCAAAATTAATTTATTCACTTGGGGGGCACTTGGGTCTAACCTCCTCAACAAGTTGCAGTCCATGAGCCAGGCAAGAAAAATGAATTAAATTAGGGTAAAACACTTTCAACTAGGTTGCGGCTTTCAGCATATATGCCACCGCATCTGAATACAAAGTTAGTACTTTCTCCTCTTGAACTCCAGTAGGCCACCACACTTTAAGTCTGTCATTCACGAATCTTGCAGCAGTGGGATGATGTGTATGGTGCAGAACTTTGGAGCAAATGAAATGTGCATTGAAAGGAACTTCAGTGTCTAACTTGCCACCCACAAAGTTCACAATGAAGCAACCCATGGAATCTTTTGTTTCAACCACAGCATCCCATATAAAGGCATCTCCTATATTACATCTTATGTTTTTCCAAGGTTCCTTCATAGCAAATAGGCAGATAATGTTTTTGATATGTTGACTGCTCTGGAATACGTTGCTTGCAGTACTTTTCCAAAAAGAATCAAATTCGGGAATTTGGCGTTTAAACCATGGGATATTCACAGTTAGCAACCAATTGTACATATACTTGAAGAATTCATTTCTTGAGGTCTAAGATTGCTATATGTGTTAAGAGCCCTTGCTTCTTCGAAGAACTCAGTTGCTTGTTTTTTGTATGTTGTGTGCTTCATAGATTTTGCTCCAACAATGATTTCATGGAACACCAACTACTTTTGTTGCAAGCTAGACATATTACAATCAGTTGTGAACAAACCGTCTATATTTACCCACAAACTCAACTTTGATGCCAGAGATGCCAATGCCATAATGATATCAACTACACAGAATAAAATTGACTGCTCATACAAAAATTAATCACTTTAAAAAATTTCAGGACAAGAATGCAGGTTGTTAGGAGTGGACAAATACGTTTCGTGAGAAGGGAGGGGATTTTAACTGCAATACAAAGGAACACCATTCGAATTCTTAGAAAAATCCCCAATGCGCAGGTGACACTAATGAGCAAAATTACGTGGGAGTTGTAGTTCACTCTGCTTTACAAAAAAGATATTTCCTCTGGATTTCCCCATCACTGTGGAAAAAGTCTTTTGGAAGGGTGAAGAAGACTATTAGTAAGGTATTTAACCAAAATACACACAAAAAATATGTAGCCACTTTCCATTTTAAAATGCAAGTAGAGAAAAATATCATGAAATATGAAGTTTTATGTAACATCTCAAGATATATGTAGGAAATACCAAAATATGTATAAATATGTAGAATAATATTAAACTGCAGAAATGCTAATGCTGTAATTTGTGGAGATTATTACTTTTTGACCATCTACATAGTAAGAAATAAAATATGTATTTACATAAAAATCCTAGCTCTAGTTACACATAACAAACTAAAAAAAAAAACAGTAATTTCAAGCAAAATCAGCAAATTTTGCCAGAAGTCTGTGGCAGATGAATTTTTATTATTTTTATTGAAATAGAACTTGGCATAATTATAGGTTTGTATGACATGAGTAAAAGTACAGAATATTTTGTCTTACAACTCTGTGATTTTGAAGACAGAGAATGTCGAAATTTGTATGATGCTGGGTGTTTTCACATGTCACAGAAGCATTAAATGATACGAAACATAATAACTGCAAAACTAATTGAACCGTATGGATAAAACTGAAACAATATGGATTTAATATAAGATTTTATGATTTTATGATTCATTCTGAGCTGCAAAATTTCAAAAGGCAATCTATGGTTTTCCAGAGTAAGGGGTTTGATGAATTTAAATAAACTGACTCTATGAGAAGCATGTTTTAACAGCAGCAATTTACTGGACCTGAACCTCAGGAGTTAGTGAGAGTGAGTGAGTTAGTTGTGTATGTGTGTGTGTGTATGTGTGCATGCACATGTGAGTAAGAGGGGGCAGTTTAGTCAACTCCAGTAGAGGAGAGTGACCAGTATTAATCAGACCCCTCCTATCATCAAAGAGGAGGCCCTATTTCAAAACAGGTATTAGAGTCTTTCAAAGAACAAAAATATGGTCATGGGACCCGAAACCAAGATTTTTGCTCCAACAAGGGCAAGGAGCATTTTAGCTAACCAACCGGTCAGGTATATGTGAGAGTGGCAGTACTCTCAGAATCGTGAGACAGTAAAATATGGATGAGTCCCATGAAACTGGGAAACAAGATTGACTGTGCTGGCGAGGACCAGCAACAATTTACCTAACCGACCGACTCAGCCCTAGGACCGCTCAAGTAACTATCATTTCGGAGTTGTAAAATAAGTTAAAAATAATCTGCTGCAGAAGTCTAAACTGACAGATGTCCTTGCATCTTAAATTTCATGAGTGTTATTTTTTACACATATATTTCCGTCTTAAATGCAAAGTCACGTTTCTTCCTTACTACATGTTTCGGCCATATACGGCTATCATAAGGTGTTGTCTAACTTGCTACAATTGTTGCATTCTATGCAAAAGTGTGAACGTGATATTTCCTAATTAAAATGAATTCAGCTTCCATGACCGCCTCTGTAGTATAGTGGTCAGAGTTCCTGGCTACAGATCCAGAGGTCCCGGGCTCGATTCCCGGCGCTACCAGATTTTCTGAGAAGTAATGGGTCTGGAACAGGGTGCACTCAGCCTTGTGAGGATAATTGAAGAGCTATTTCAAGGAAATAGCGGCTCCGGTCTAGAAAACCAAGATTAACGGCCGTGGGGATCCGTTGCGCTGACCACGCGACATCCTCTATCCGCAAAAGTTGGCACTAATTTCGTCGACAAGCGTCGGTCGCTCCGTCGATATAGTTCGCTTGCGGACTACAGGCCACGAAGTTTGTATTAAAATTAATAAACTTCTTAATGTTATTTCTATTATGGTCGTAATCCATTCATTTAAAATATAGTTGCCTTAGAGTATTTATGGTTGCTGCATTCCATTTGCTCCGTGGATATTTGAGTATTATTTGTTCAGTTCGCAAGGTTGGTAAGATTGTCGATGTAATGTCATTATCAGCGTTGATCCACACACACACACAACCCATTTAATAACAAAACTAGTCTAACAACGTGGAAAAACCCTACAAGCCAATTGAGCCTACATAACAACACTGATAATACTACATCGACATCCTTGCCGATCCTTATGAACTGCATTGTTGCTCCACACCCATCTTTAGCGGCCCCAGCAGCCCCTTGAAGCATTGGCGGTGTATGCCTAAACGACGCCCAACGAGACCAGAGAATCCCCGCCCTCTCGCCCCTCCGATAAAAATTCATCTCTCTCAAAACTTTGTCACAATTAACGACACAAAATTTTGAACACTGTAATGGTAACCGCTGTTGGTGTTATAATTCTTTAATGGTTTTATTTACATTGATGCAAATGATGTTCAGTTTACTGAGAATTAATGGTCATAATATGACCAAGAGATCAACAGAAATTAATTTCGTGCAAAAAAACAAGCATCATTGAATTTGCCGCCTCAGGCGGTCTCTTGATTCGCCTGTGCTGTCTCACCAGTTTTCCTTTGAACAAGCAACATATTATACATAATAACCTTGTTATTTAAGTTAAGCGTCTTCACGTCTGACCCGGCGCTTGGCTGGAGTTACTGACGATGGTACTGCAGAAACGAAGATCGTCGGAAGAATACTCTGACAAATGAAAATTAGACAGTAGTGGTTCATGCAATAAGCAAATGTTGTCATGAACTTGCTTTAAGCTTATGAAATGATCCGAGGTGTATTGTATTTTTCAAAAGATTACCTAATTTGTACCTTATAATTACATATTTACGTCTAACATATCACAAATCATATACCTAAATCGGCAAATAAACGTACCTTTTCTAGAATGGATGTTGGACCACACTTCTTTTCGGAAGGGGACAGATCTCCTCTGTAAATAAAACACTTCTAATTGAAAGCTAAATACATCTATGATGTAACGATAATCATATTTAATATTATGCTTCACTGTCAGCTACTAATTAAATGTAATATACACTTACAAGGTACGATCGTTTAAGCCTGCCCGCCATTATATCCTGTTTACGATTGATCAATAATCGATTACAATCAGAGATGACACTACAGTCAACCCGACGGTAATCAAAATCGATAAAAATGAACTTGAAGAGTTGAAGAGGCTCTGCCGTTCTCTTCAGAATTATGTAGATGATGATGATAAGTAGTACTTCAGTCACAGCCTGAGTGATGAGAGATTGAAACCGGACAAAATTATGATGTGGGGCCTCAATCTCACTCTGACAGTCATATAAATATACGGATACTCGCATATTTAATAAGTGCTTTAGAAGATAAGATTTTCTGCAATTTATAAAAATAAGTCTTAAATTGCATAATAGAAATGTTTTACGGTGTGCTACAATTTACATATTATTTACATTTATTTTACACGTAATTTGACAATTACATGTAAAAGTATTATCCACATTAACAATGAAATTGATTTTAAATTATTTTAGGTATGCAATATTATCTTTATTTATTTATTTACAAATTCTACTATTATACTTGAGAAATTAACTGTCATGCAACGTCAGAATTCATGAGAAGAATGGACAGCCCATTTTAACCTTTGCTCTGACACTGTAGATAGGTTGACGTTCTTCAGTCCTATCAAATTTGAAACTTCTGTCTGCAAAAGCAATTGAAGCAAGTATGCTTAAAAATGGTGCATAGATCTGAAATCAATTCAATTACATTCGTAACCAGTGTATGTGGGTGTGTGTTTTAAGCAATTTGGTTGGAGTATTTCTTTAGAAATTTCCTTGGTAGAATTCTGCTGTAACTTCTATGCCATGACTTCGATTTTCACAGCAGTTAACTTCACAAACATGCAAAGAATTCAAAATAATTACAAATTTCACGCAACAATTCAAAAGCAGTGTGACTCCAAACTTTAATGAATCAACAATTAGAAGATAAACGTTGGTTCTGTAAAGATTTTCAGCGATGAACTCTGTTTTAACAATGTGGTTTGATACTCTTCTGAAATTCTTCCATTACTTTCAGTGTCCTTTGATTTCGAACACGTTTTCTCCTATTCCTCACGGACTTACCGAATGTTTGTCACAAGCATATCTATGTTTTCAATCATAACATCTAGACTCGCACTACGTGGAAAAGATCTTTTAATTTTATCTGTTAAAAATTCAAAACCCCGACTCTTGTTAATCATGCATTATAAATTAATTATCTGCTGATAATAATAAATGCAGTAGTATTCAAATTATCTGTCCCTGTCAGAACAGTGGAGGTAACAGACTTTAGAAATAGACTACTACTACTACTAGAAGGGGCTGAGCCATTCTTACAAAACTGTCAGTTGTGCAGCTATTCAGGAATTTTCAAACATTTTATGGAACCCGAAATTTCATAATCCTCTGGTCCTCTGGTCCAATTCGGTCCATACCACCAAATCATATTTCTTCAAGATCTATTTTAATATTATCCAACCACCCACATCTTTGTCTTCCTAGTGGTCTCCTTCCATCTGGGTTTCCCACCAGTATATTCTATGCATACCTCTTCCCCCCATTCATGTTACATGCTCTGCTCACCTCATCCTCCTTGACTTGATCATTCTAATTATACTTGGAGAAGAATACAAGTTATGAAGCTCCTCATTATGCAGTTTTCTCCAACCTCCTGTCACTTCATCTCTCTTCAGTCCAAATATTCTCCTCAACACCCTGTTCTCAAACACCCTCAGTCTATATTCCTCCCTTAATGTCAGAGACCAAGTTTCACACCCATACAGAACCACCGGCAACTGACTACTACTTTTCTCAATTCGTTTTTCTCATTAACATAATCTGCTGTGGTCTATTTTATTCAACTAATGTTACAAGTAGCCCTTATCCACCCACAACTAACACTGGACACCCTTCAGTTGCATCTCACTTTCTTATCATGAAATGGGTCCTTTCGCTAAGGCGTTCTTCTCCCCTCGATAGACGCCGACGACTCCTCCCATTCTCAGTTCATCAGCTATACTCTTCCTGTTGTACAATCTACTGCCTATTTCTCTTGAAGGATGAAAATATAAAATTTAATACATTACATTGTAATACTTCTTCCATCTTTCCTAAGGTTTCTATTCCGCCTCATAATGGTGTTATTTTCTTGCAGACCATGGCATATTGCTTTGGCTTGATCGCCTTGAAATCCCCCCTTCAGCAATTTTTTTTTGTTTCTTTCTTTAGTGCGTCCGTCATGTTATCACTGACAGTAGGCAAATAAAAATTACGAGGTTGAGGCGAGAACTAATGGTATGACGTCCGTACCTAGTTTTGCGAAAATCAGTTACGTGGTTCTAATTTGAAATTGGAATATATACGCAATGATAATGGCAATATCATGAAGTTGGCTAAACGTAAACACAACCGGAAAACACTAATAATTCTCTCCTTCGGTATTCTTGGAACTTCAGAGACGAAACCGATTTTCGGGTTTACAATCATAACAGAAATAATGAAGTTCGCGTGAAATTCGCAGCCGGAAAAATTTTACCCCGGATATTACAGGGCAGTATTCATTACAATAAAATCTTGGGCCAAATCTAGGGCGGGGTTTATCGAGCGCAATCAAAACGTCATCGAGAAGTTTCGCGACACACGATTAGGGTTATAGGATTTTCGAAGTTTTAATAAACTTTCAACAGAACTTACGGTGTAGCATGCTTCGAAAGAGAAATGTAAAGAGAAAGCGACCAGTCTGCGCGTTGCTTAGAAACGATTTGTAAACAGCCAGTTGCAGTCTCTATATAGTGCAGCGATTTCTGTTTTGTTTGGGCTGGATCCAAGAAATGCTGACAAGACGTGAAAAACTTTTGACACTACCCTGGCAGCAACGTCGGTACGACCACCACAGACACAAGGTTAGTGTTTATTCAGCTTTTTAAGGCGCTCCACTAGTTGATAACAGTGATCGTATAGCTATCAAATCAGATCCTGATCACTGTACATGATGAAAAAGTGGTACGTGGACGCGATTGTAATCTTCTTTCCCAGCATTCACTTCAGCAAAGTGAGGAAAGTCACGATAACCCCACCTGGAGATTCAGTATTCCATCCTGATATCTCATGAATCGATTCAAATGTTACCACTACTTCAACTGGCATGTATAGATGAATCTCTTCTGGAGCGACTAGCAACAGCACTTACAGTCTCAGACTGGTCACTAACATGACTTTTTGAGCACTCCCTAGCACTGACCAGTTCTTAATATTACTAATACAGAGAGGATAATATTAAAATAGATGCCAGAGAAACGGATCATTGACTGGAGTCAATTAGGTCACTTGAGGGTCCAACAATAAAAGCATTTCTTGGTCAATAGTGTGGTAACTTTTCAGGAAGGATCTTGCACAATGAACTTAGATATGAACAGCACTTATGGCTGCTGTGGCACACTTCAGAATTCTGAAAGATTAGAATTTGTAGTTTAACAAATTTCTCTTCCACTTATTCTCCAAAATTACTATTTTCATTTCATTCTAGACAAAATGTATTGTCACCTCCAAATTAAAAATCTAACGAACTTTTACATTACCACGTTCATCAAGAGCCTGCCACTGGTTCCTATTATGAGATCCTGTGTAACATGGAATATAAAGTCACTGGAGGATCACCTCTTGTTGGCTGTCTGTCACCATTTATCCAGTAAATTTACTACCCCACTTATCAGGAGGCCACCTCATTGAACCACAAGCTGAGGATATGACATTCCATAGTGATAAGAGATCCACCTGTTATGTAACACTGTCTGAAACTCAAATGGGACAACTTTCCTGTAGGGTTCCTCCTAAAAGGAAAATCTAATTATCCTTTGCCGCTCTGCTGAAGATCTTAATATGCGAAACAAGTTACTATTGTCCCAAGGTGCAGTCTGCCTTACCTGCCATTGATGTGGGACCACCCTCAACTCGAGGTCATGTGTGTTGCAAGCTCAAGAAACAGCAGAATGAGCAGGAACGCATTACACAAATTGAGCTAAACAACTGCAGGCTCCTACAGCGCATGGGAACCATCATGAAAACCAATCGTCTAGATAATCACTGGGTCAACCCACCCCCCAGGTAACAGGTAGCTGCATTACTTCATCAACTGCTTTAAAAACTAGAATAAGTGAGTGTCATCTAGGTTGTACTTCCCTTTGTGAATATGTTAATTTTCATTCAGCATTATATTTCCCTGCCTGAGCTTCTCCTACATCAATCCCTGTTCCTTATAAGTCACCTTATTTTAGTCAACAATCTCTGCAAAGCAAAACAGTCTCATAAACAATTCCTCTTGTTACAGTAATGTCTTTATCAAGTCCATCGTTCATGAGTTTGCATTGGTAAAGCAGTCAAATGTTTTGGCCTGATGAGCTCCTGTAAGTCATAGACACATAATCACTACATCTGGTATTGAGCAGAATAATAGTTATGACAACTTTTGATATGTATATGGGAGATATCTGGTTCAAGTCTAGACCCAACTGTCAGCTATCTTCAAGTATAAAGTTTCCCAAGAAAAGAAATGGAACCATATGCTTTTATATGCTATGGTTGTATTATTCCAAATCCATATCTACTTACCTTTCACAATGTTCAAATTTCACTTGATGATGCAACACTTTTGCCGTTAAATCATCGCCCTTAACCTAAGAATGTATCACTGCATCTGGTATGAAGAAAATGCAATTAAAAAACACCAGTGTACTGAGTTAAATGTAAACCCTTAAAACCAAGTGTACAGTTTTTTGGATCACAATTTGGAAATTACTGCTGCAGTGCAATGAAACAACTGAATTCCTTATGGTAATTTCCATGCTATGAGTTGTATTCCCACAACATACTTACAAATCATCTGCTACTGCCCTCAAATTATAACATTTTGAAACAATGTCACAAATACACTGCACATATTTTCTCTTATTTTCCTGAAGGTACCACTGATAACACTTTATTTAGGGAGATCTTCATAAAGTAGTGCAATATAATCAAATCATTCAAGCTGAATATCAATAAACTACATCCAAACCATCCTAGCACTCCCAAGGTACACTCACATACAGACAGATGGCATTCAAAATACCACTTTCTACTCAGTGGTGCTGAAAACATGTAAATTCAACTAAATCTTAAGCTTGATATTTTCACAATATATGTATACAATGATACTTGGAAGTAAAAGACCTAAGACTTAGAATACTACAAATCAGTGCAGGCATTTCACATATGTACTTTCTCATATACAACTGATCTTTATAACATTACTCTGGAAGCTAAACTGACTGACTGACTGTTGACTGGTATACCACTGTCAGATGCTGGATACAGAATAATGAAATCTGTCTAATAAGCGTTTCCATATGTGACATTTTGCATTTGGGTCCCTAGGGCACATATTAATATTTTTCTGACAATCTACTAGGTGGTTCAAATATGACTGGGACTGATTTTTTTGTAAACAAGCCGCACTGCGCAGCAGCTGTGCGACCTTGAGAGAGTGAAGCCACAACCTCCATCCTACCTCCTGTTAGGTTTAGAACCTGTTCAGTCCTGTCTGGAAGTTGCTAGAGTGATGAGTGAACAGAAGGTACCGCGGAGCGTGGAACAACACATTGTGATCAAATTCCTCGGAGAAAACGTCCCGTCCGCTGAAATTCACCAGTCTCCAACAACAGTATGGGGAACAGTGTCTCTCACGGACCCGTGTGTTTGAGTGGTGTAAGTGCTTCAGAGAGGGCAGAGAGCACGTGGAGAATGAACCGCATGATTGTTGGCTGCAAACATCCGTCACCAAGCCAAACATTGATCGTGCAGACGCACTTATTCGTGAGAATAGGTGCATCACTATCAAGGAACTTGGAGCAATGCTGTCCATCAGTGTTGGTAGTGTAGAAGACATCATGAAATACCAGCTGCACTATTGCAAGGTGAATGGAAGGTGGGTACCACAGACTTTGATGGACGTGAACAAAATGGTGTGCATGCAAGTTGCCAGTCATCTCCTACAGCAGTTTGAAGACGAAGGTGATGCATTTTTGAAGTCTATAGTGACCACCAATGAAACATTGGTGCACTACTTTATTCCCGAGTCCCAGCAATCATCACGTGAGTGGGGGCATACCAGTTCTCCCAAACCCAAGAGAGCGCGGAGGAGCCATTCGGCAGGAAAAGTGATGGCAACATTCTTCTGGGACTGACAGGGGGTTATCCATGTAGACTTTCTGACAGATGCCAGAACAGTCAATGCAGCTTATTACTCAGACCTCCTGGCAACAGACGTGAAGGAAAAGTTCCGATCCAAGCGGAAGACAGGTGGAAAGCAGGTAGCCTTCTTTCAACACAATGCACGCCCCCATATGGCCAAAACAATGGAAACCCTCCGGAAATTGAAATGGAACCTTCTGACACATCCGCCATACAGTCCCGATTTGGCCCCAAGTGATTTCTACCTGTTGGGAAGGCTCATATCAGACTTGCAAGGCATGCGGTTTGTGGACGATGCCGTCATCCAGACTGTTCAGGAGTGGATACACTGCCAACCACAAGCCTTCTGTGAAAAGAGCATCAGGATGCTTTCAGAACATTGGAAAAAATGTGTTGACTCCGGAGGGGAGTATGTTGAAGACTGACATGTGCAAGTAAGTGTTTGGCAATTTTGGTTTAAAAAAAAAATCAGTCCCGGTCATATTTGAACCACCTTGTAAAAACAACTCTGTGGCCTATAGTCTGCAAGTGATCTATACTGACCAACCAACTGCCACTTGTCAGTGAAGTGAGTGCCAACTTTTGCGGATACAGGATGTCACTGTTCAGCGCAACGGATCCCCAGTCATTAATCTCGGTTTTCTAGACCGGAGCCACTATAGCCATGAAACAGCTCCTCAATTATCCTCACCAGGCTGAGTGGACCCTGTTACAGACCCACTACTTCTCAGAAAATCTGGCAGTGTTGGGAATCGGAGCCGGGACCTCTGACCACCAGACCACAGAGGAAATATACCACCTACACAATTTTATTTAGGGAGATGGTATTCATAATAACTGAAATTTAATCAAAATCATTAGAACAGATTTTGAGAAAATCACATTTTGTTTTGGGGCATATCTGAAGGGCCTCTACTTTTGTACGAGTACCTAGAATGATCATGTTCAATGACCTATAACAGGGGAACTCTTGAACACTGAATACAAATACAGTCCATCCAACCATTCATGTGTTACAGAGTGCCCATTCTTCCACACAGAGACAGCATACCAATAACCACATTTTCATATTTGTGGAGCGGTGGACTAAAAACGTTTATATCTGTCAAAACCTGAAGATCCAACTTCTTCACCATTACAATACTTTCTCTTATACAGTGCGTACAATCAAGTGCGCGCCGCGGCTGCAATTTGCCGTGAGTCATACCACCGCAGAACGGATGCAACTCCTCCCCGCGACTGCAGTGCTCCTACGCCGATGGTTGCATAATCGGAACCCGAGGTTGCATTAAACAGTCAGTCTTTGTCTTGCTGTGGAAGTGGAGTGGAATGTTTACAGCTGTCGACAGACGGTGGAAATGAAGTTCACTATTAAACAGCGTGTGTTTATTGTCGAAACTATTGCAAGGAAAAACATTTACAGAAAATTCGCACGTAGGTTTCGTCAGAAATATCCTGACTCGCCAGTTCCCACAAAGTCGTGTGTAAACAGGCTTCTGAAAAAGTGGCGGGCCACAGGTTCAGTGAGTGACAAGAAGAAGCAATCGAAGAGAACTGTGCTGACTGAAGAAAAGGTTAAGGATATTCAGGCAAGATTACAGATCAGTCCTCGAAAATCGTTAAGACGCTTAGCACAGGAAACTGGTGTTTCGCTAGGATCTGCTCGCACAGCCACAAAGTTAATCAAATTTCGCCCGTATAAAGTAACAGTTGTGCATGAGCTGAAAGAACCAGATCATGCAGCAAGAATTCGTTTTTGCAACTGGCTGCTGCAAAATGTACACGATGGAATAGTGGATCCTCAGCTTCTATTCATGACTGATGAAGCGTGGTTCCACGTTGGTGGCCACGTCAATGCACAAAACGTAAGAATATGGAGCAATGAAAATCCTCACGCTATACAGCAAGTGCCATTACATAGTGAAAAGGTGGGTGTGTGGTGTGCTGTAAGCCCGCGGCGAATCATTGGCCCCATATTTTTCCACGATACCGTGAACTCTGATCGGTACATTAATGACATACTGAATCCCTTCTTCGATCAGTTGAATGCCGAAGAAAGACAATACGGGTATTTTCAGCAGGACAACGCTACAGCACATACGGCTAATGCATCCATGGTCGCAATACAGGAAGTGTTTGAAGACAGAATTGTCAGTAGAGGACTGTGGCCTCCCAGATCCCCAGATCTCAGTATTTCTGATTATTATCTTTGGGGCAACCTGAAGCAAAAAGTCTACAAAAATAATCCCCGCAGCATTGATAGTCTTCAAAATGAAATTACGCGCGTAATTCATTCAATTACTGTTGACAAACTGCAGAGAGTGTCGCGTAATTTATTTGTGAGATGCGTGGCATGTTTGCAAGCAGAAGGAGGTCACTTTCAGCACCTGTTATAAACCACGGTAAGTTATCTTTTTACTGTATTCTTATAAATGTGTGCATGTAGAGCAACTGATGGACGGAGACTCAGCGACACCACTACACTCACGCTATCGGGGAACGGCACTGCAGTCGCGGGGAGGAGTTGCATCCGTTCTGCGGTGGTATGACTCACGGCAAATTGCAGCCGCGGCGCGCACTTGATTGTACGCACTGTATAACACATATATGGGAGGGTGTGGAGAATATTTGGACCGAAGAGAGATGAAGTGACAGGAGGTTGGAGAAAACTGCATAAGGAGCAGCTTCATAACTTGTACTCTTCTCCAAGTAATAATTAGAATGATCAAGTCAAGCAGGATGAGGTGGGCAGGACATGTAGCACGAATGGGGGAGACAAATGCATATAGGATATTGGTGGGAAAGCCAGAAGGAAAGAGACCACTGGGAAGACCAAGGCGCAGGTGGGTGGATAATATTAAAATGGATCTTAAAGAGATAGGATGGGATGGTATGGATTGGATTGGTCTGGCTCGGGATAGGGACCATTGGAGGACTCTTGTGAACATGGTAATGAACCTTCGGGTTCCGTAAAATGCTGGGAAATTCTTGAGTAGCTGCAGAATTTGCGGCTCCTCAAGAAGGGCTCAGCTCCGTCATAAAATAAACTTAAGCCATTCAATTATCAGGACAGAGGTGGAGCCCCAGCTGAGGACCAAGGTTGTGACAACATACTGGCTTATTACATGCATGGTGACAGGTTGCAAGTGCAAACCAAATTACCTTGAGGGAACCTGCTTCAGCGCCACTCTGTCTACCAAACTCTGCCTGAAGATTGAATGTCTCCATGACAAGAATTCTGCATCTAACTGTCCGAGCAGGTGCAGGATCTGACTAAGAAGATATTTTAATGCTAACACTTGGTCATGGTGTAGAATCACATGGTATAAGAAATACAGATGAGTGTTCTTTTTTTGTTAAGCACTTCATGAAATTTTCTGCTCTTGCTCTCAACATTCAGAAACAAGACAAACCTGGGGATACTGTCAACATTTCTGCTTCTGAATTTCAATAGTGGCACAGGGTCCTCAAAAATCAAACATAATGAACCTCAATGTCTCTCACCCTATGAATAATTTCCTAGTTACATTTCCACCGAACATAAACATGGAACATATGAGTATGTACAGTTCTTGAAGAAATTACTGTGAAGGATATGGTGCAAAAACCTGGAAGTTTACATCTGAATACGGCATAACATGGGCTCATTTCATCTGTTTTTTTAAGACAGCTTATTCGAATGTCTGAGTAGTTCAAGTGTCCAAGAACACAGAGGTGTTAACTGTAACCACTGACTATGAACAACAAAAGTAGTTTACAAATATGGATACCCTAGCTATTAGCATTCATGGCTAATGGTTCAATGGAAAGTATGTAAAGAATACATGTGTCCATTTTGGGTGTGGAGAAATATCCACACCAACTCAAGACTTAAAAACAAGACTGAAATACATACTTAAATGTAGAGCTTACATTTACCCTTTCTCACACATGTAATATATATCATGACGGTGAAAAATCAATCTCAAGATTTTGGACAGATTTACATATTTTCAGCATAAAAATCCAGCATATATAAGAAAGTAGTCATGCTGAAAGACTCAATCTCACGATTTTGCAAATTTACGTCTTTCAGTCTCCCAGAATTTGAAAAACAGGTTTTTGGAATGGTGTCTTCATGTATGTATGCAGCTTGCTAGTGCCTGAAGACTTGGAATGATTTTATTCATATTCGATATGTAAGATGGCATCCACCTAAGTCAGTGCTGACTGGATATGAATGCTCCACCTCCAAAAACAAGGGCCCTACAAATGGACCCTAAAACATAAAACAGGAATGTTCTCAAAAATAGCTCTCTCCTTCCCAGTTTCATGCAGAGAGAGGGTATTTACTACTTTCCTGCACAGTGTGGCTACGCCAGTCAACAAGCCTCTCCCCCAGCCACTTCTCCTGATGACTTGTCCAACATGAAGAGGCGCTGCTTAGCTTGCAACCAACAGAAAAATGAATCAACAAAGGTATGAATATCAAGACATATGTACAAAACTATGATTCAGAAATCTCAAGAAATAACTCACAACGGTGTTTTTCAGATTTCAGGCCACAATCTATAAGTAAGTCATGGAAAGTACTTTGCTTAGTCATGGCTTACGAGTTAAATGTAACGTAAAATCAGTTGACACTGTTGTTAAGTGCTCTTTCCTAGACATATATGTGCATTATCAGTGTTCACAGTGACCAATCCTCACACATCTTCTTGCACAGCCTGTACCAAAATATACAGCACCAACAGCACACCAACGCAGGGCTTCACACATGCGCCGCAATTGCAACACAGCAACACAGGTAAAAATTCACAGGAATGTATGTGCATATGTATGCACACATACATATGCTTATGGCCAATGTCTACTTCTCTTTCAGGCAAAGACATGTGGAATGACATGGAAGAGGAACCAACAGGCAGGAGACATTTCACCACGGCGTATAACCTTTACTCGCAGGGGACTTCAACTAGCAGTCAGCTTTCCGGCTGACACCACCATTAGACTGGAGGATGGTCAACTTGACCATCTGCTGCAAAGGGAGTACTGCGGGTGCAAGGCAATAAAACTCCAGTAGTTCCATGATGTTGTGAAGCCTTTGTTTTCACTATTTTATAAAGAATTTGATATATCTACAATCAAATTAAATGACAAAGGCTCAATTCACATGACCACAATTGTTCAAGTTATAAAGTTAATCACAAACCAAGTTGTCACTTGAAGGGGATGCCATAGGAAGAGAGCTATTAAATACTTGATGCTTATTGCTCTATAGTCTGTACATAATATCACAGGCTGTTGTTACAGCCATGTGTTATCCATGATTAAAAGCCATTAGTAAATAAACAGTTAAATAATGATAACAATTAACCACAAGTTTACCCTAACATGCAGCACTCTTCTGTACTAAAACAAAAACAAGACAGATGATAATTTATTACCAATAAGTACATCTTCCTTGGGTCAAATGGGAGAAACTAGTGACCATTCTTGAACAACCATCCTCCAACTGGCACCTGGAAAGTGTCCAATGTCATAGCCCCTTCACCCATCTAGTCGGATCCCCATGTTACTCAGTACCCTGCTGATACAACAGTAGTATATGGGTATGCTACCTGCAGCACCTTAAAAAAAGTATTTTTACAGCTGCTCACTGATAAGTTATACTGGAACTCTATGAAGTGGAACATGGTCTACATGCCTTGATGGTTCCTGATCTGTTTTATATAACTGCTCCTTGTTTTCAATCAGCAGTCTTTCAGCTTGTCACTCAACACATGTCAGCTTCCTTTAGTTCTTAATGTGTTTCAGACCACATAAGCAAAACTGTGTAACAAAATGTTTGTACTATTATTCATTTTTCCCCAGTATGTATTTAACTGCTGGATAGTTCATAAATATGGGAAATCTGTACAGTATGTCAACAGAGTACTACAGAGCAATATAAATACTGCTTGAGAGGGTAATGTAGTGATGATTTAGAAGCCTGCTTGAGGAGTTTATTAAACTTTATTTTTAAGAAAACTAATCTGCCATGTTGTGACATGCTTTGGATCTGGAAAATGGTCAAAACACTTCATCTAGTACATTACATTATATACAAGAAGAGAACATTGATATTAACACAATCAGTCATTTCGGAGGCTAACAGGCTGATGCTTCAACAAGGTCGAGATTCTGAGATGTAAGTACCTTATTTGTCACAATCTGAGTATGTCAACATGTTACTTAGGCACAGAAAGCTTATAATAGTCAGGATGTAAATTAAAAACCAAACTTGCTTCTTTACTGGATGGGCACCAAAATTTATATATGTAGGGCAAATACAGCAACTTCCAAGCAAGATAATATAAAAGACCATGGTCTATTTTTAACACACCCTGCTAGAAAAAGTTGTACCTCTATGTTCCTCAACTGTTATAAATCTCGGGGCATCACTATTAGTTGTGTGTCAGATCTGCTCACACTGTCTTTATCATACAACTACTCAGTCACAGCACTTGATTGGTATCAGCTGCGGGCCACATCTATCGATAACCATCGACATGTCCATGCAATCAGAATTTAAAGCCATCACTTGGTATGCTGGTGTTGGGATCAAACTGGAAGCCAGCATCAGATGACTGAGGCACCAAGTTGGGATCATCTTCAACCTGTAACATTCAAGCCTGTGGTGAACTACAAACTGCAGACTGAAGTGAAACCAGTCTCACAAGTTCTACCATACAGCACAAACTGAAAACTACTTTAACCCTCACTGTATTGGACTGACAGCTTTAAATGATAGGGATGACAGCCAGATTTTAACTGCTAATGGTATTAGCGCTGGAGAGATGTTCATATTCTCAAAACCATGCATACTAAAATATTAATGTTGGGGAGGGGGTTAATTCATTGCTGAATTCTATGGTGCTATTCTTTACAATTATAAAAATTGCCAATTACAATAATGTTTATAAATCCCTGAAATAAAACAAAATATATGTAAATTCAAATGTACAGAGCAATCCTTTACATAGTGATGGAACTCCTATTTAAAAGTTTACCATATTATGTTGTAAATAAATATCTACAGCCTCTGTGAGTATGTGACTGCCCTTATGTCCAGTGCTGCCTCTGTCCAAGCTGTGGAAATCACTGAAACATTCAGCACTGGAGGAACTGGAATTGACATTTGCAGCATGTTGATGATACTATCCATTTTTCAATCTACAATGTAGCACAACCCTCACCTTTCAAGAGATTTTTGCCATGTTGGTATAAAATCTAAACAGTGGGTTACTGTGTTGTATAATGAATGTATAAGGGGTGGGCCTTCTCGGCCCTTGCGCTGTGACCTACAGTGATCTATGTGCTTTGGTTTACTGTGTTCCTCTCATGCAATTCAGATGATACTGATAAACTACCAGCTTTTGTAAGTGGAAAATATAAAAGTCCACATTGCTTCAAGAATATCAGGAGAATGCTATAAAATATGAAGCCAATACAAATTCTTGGATGACCACAAAAATAATTCAAATTTACCTCACACAACTAGATAGAAAATTGGGTGTCAAAAATTTCAAAATCTTGCATTTCACTTATCAGTGTGCTGTTCATCCAGTGAACACATATTTCAGCAACATCAATGTTGTGTGTCTCCCAGTGAACTATACCAGCCAACTACAGCCTTCACATTTGGGAATCATCCATGCATTTAAGTGCCATTATAGAAAGTAACCAATTTGGAAGACTGGAGCCATGAGAGATGGGGGACTGCTCCAAGATACTATACAGATGAAACTGGATGGGTTGGCTACAATATTCTTCACAGCAAAAGCCTGGAGATTGATAAGACCAACTACAATCAAGAACTGCTTTGTGAGTGAGGTTTCTTGACTGATCATGTCAGCAGCAATGATGACAGTGAAGTTAATCTCATGAGAGGATAAGTGGCACAGTGCAGTCTGAAGACTACACAACAAGTTACAATGCTCTCAAGGTCTCAGAATCCTGAGTGTTAACCAGGTGTTTGATCAACAGCTGACTAGGCCAGAAGAGGAAGTTGTAGAACATAACGTAAAATTTGCACCATCAGTTGAATTTCACCAGACTACATAGCATTATACATCAGAAGAACAGAATTCTTCATAACCACTGTGCTGAGAACCTTAAATCCAAAAATCCTACTTCCTGATGGATGAGAAGTTCTTACAAAAAGGTGGCATGGCTATGGGCAGTTCTGTGTCTCCAGTTGTTTGCAACATTTTACGAACATTTTGAAGGTTCTAAATGTGGCACCGCTTAAACTGCTGTCCTGGCATTCATGTGGATGATACATATGAGGTCTGGTCACATGGGTTACGTACACTGAGAGAGTAAAATAACAAGAGCACAGCTGTAGCTACTTACTAGTCAGCACAAACCTTTTCCCTGAAATCTCATATCAGACCCAGAGTAAGGTCAATCCATGCAGTCAAGGGTCATTCGTGTACTTACATCTTCCGAGAAGTATTGTTCAATAATCTCATAGGCCAGTTTGTAGATTTCCACATTTTCATGATTTTGAAGAAGTTCAATTTTATCGAGTCCTGGAACATAAGATGGAGTTATCACTTCACAGGAGTTGATGTACACAATCTTTCTTACAGAGCCAAATCCAGTTTCCTCACTGTGAGAATAAGCAAGTGTTAACTGAATGTGCTTTCAGCAGACACCGCTAGCTAGTGTTACTATAGTGTCTCTGTTAGGTGGATCACTTGTCACCATGACATGGCGGCTCCTCAGGTTGCAGATGGAAGAGACAACCTCTAGATATGGGGGGTAGTTATAAACATACTGAATAAGCAGTCACAAACAGCCAACAAGGGCTGGTCCTACATCTTGGGGGTTGGTGAACAATTCCTTGCCATAAAAATAACCTTGTTATGAAACGTCACGAAGGGCCTCAGACCTTGACAGATTCTTTGGATAAACTAAAGACCTAAACTAAAGAAAATGGATATGAGATTCGGTACATGGAATATTAAATTATGAATAGGCCAGTTACAGTGGCTCAGGGCAATGGCAGAAGAAATCTCAAAATATAAGTTAGATTTAGTGGGAGCACAGAAGATCAGATAGGACAGTGGCACAATGTGTATTTGATAAATTCCCTAAATATTACATGTTAGGAGATTTCAATCCAAAGTAGGTAATAGAGACACTTTCAAACCAACAATTGAGAATAAGAGTTTGCATGAAATTAGTAATGATAATGGAGAGTAGTAAACTTTCCCACATCAAACAATCTGTCAAAAGTACACCATTCCCATATCATTAACATTCATAAATTTACTTGGACATCTCCTGATGGAAAGGCTCACAATCAAATTGACCATACTTTGATAGACAGGAGACAACATTCAAGTATACGTGATGTACAATCGTTCAAGGCAGCAGATTATGATAATGACCATTATCTGGTGGTGGCAAAAGTTAGGGAGAGACTAGCAATGACTAAACAAACAACACACAGGTTTTGTATGAAGAGGCTCGATCTCAAAAAATTAAATGAGGTAGAAGGTAAAAAGCAGTATCATGTTGGAATCCAAAATAGGTCTGCATCTTTGGAAAACATGAATGCTGAAGTGAATAATAATAAGGCTTAAGAAACTATGAGACAGAATACAAAAATTTCAGCCAAAAAGGGTCTACGTTATTATGAACCGAAGAAGCATAAGCCATTGTTCAACAAAGGATTTTCAAAATTATTAGGTTAAAGGAAAAAAGATAAACTGCAATGGTTGCAGGATCAAAGAGAAATAAATGGGGATAATCTGAACAATATAAGATGTGAAGACAGCCGGCATTTCAGGAACAAAAGGGGGGAATATCTGTAAAACAAAATTAGTGAGCTTGCAACTTACAGCAAGAACAAGAACATTTGAAACCTGTATATGGGCAATAAAACTGACTGTAGTAATTATCATGGGATATCACTTCATTATAAATTTTATCCAACATCCTTCTGTCAAGTCCATATATACAAGGTGTGTCCCAAAAGTCATGAAATATATATATATATATTTTTTTTAAATTTATTCATGATATCGGTACAAAGTGTTAATATTCTTCAAAGTACTGTCCATGAGCATCTACACATTTTTTCCACCGACTCTCCCATGCCCGGTATGCCCCCTCAAAGGCCTTGACGGGATCCTCATTTAAAGCTGTTGTCACGGCTGCTTGGATAGCCTGAATGCTTTCAATATGGCGTCCTTTGAGTGCAGTCTTGATCCTCAGGAACAAAAAGAAGTCGGCCGGAGCTACGTCAGGGCTGTAGGGTGGCTGCGGCAGCGTTGCCACATGGTGCTTCGCCAGGAACTCACGGACGAGCAAAGACGTGTGGCTGGGCGCATTGTCATGATGCAGCCGCCAGTTAGCGGCGATGTCTTTTCGCACATGGATGACCCTTTTCCTTAATCTTTCTAGAACATCCACGTAGTAGGGAGCGTTGACGGTCTGTCCTTGGGGTAAAAACTCTTTGTGGACCACACCCTTGGCGTTGAAAAAGATGACGAGCACTGTTTTCACTTTGGATTTGCTCATCTTCGCCTTCTTCGGTTTCAGGGAAGCCGAGATGTGCCATTCAGCACTCTGGCACTCCCCGTATGCTTGCTTAAGCAGTTCGTGAGTTTTGGCAGCTTTTTTGTTGAGCTTTGTGCAGAACTTGACCGCCCAATGTTGTTCAAAAGTATCCATCGCGCGCCGTGACGTGGTCACAAAACACAGGTACACTAAATCAGCGATACTGACGCCTCCGATGCTTGAGCAGACTGACCTTGGGCGCGCTGTGAAGCCAAAGGTATCTCCCCCCCTAACCCAACTGGTTCCAGCACGCTCCGACCAGTAGGAGCGCGGGAAAGAAATATATTTCATGACTTTTGGGACACATCTTGTACATGAAATTACTGGGGATCATCAGTGTGTTGGGTTTCTAAGTAACAGATCAACTACTGATAATATCTTCTGCATTCCTCAAATACTGGAGAAAAATCGGAAGTACAATGAGACAGTATATCACTTATTCACAGACTTCAAGAATCAGTATACATAAACATTTGTCTGATAATTTTCCTATCCAGAATGTTATAAAAGAAGGTAACTCTTTTATCGCCACTGCTTTTCAATTTTTCTTCAGAATATGCCATTAGGAAGGTCCAGGAAAGCCAGGTAGAGCTGAAATTAAACAGGATACATCAGCTGTTGGTCTGTGCTATGATATGAATCTGCTGGGTGACAATATAGATACCATAAAGAAAAACACAGAAACTCTGATTGATGCTAGTAAGGAGGTTGATCTAGAAGTAAACACAAAGAAAACTAAGTAGCACATGTACAACTTTATTAACAACAGACACAAAACTTTGGAGTTTCTCTATCTTTGTTATTTTCCAAATTATTAAAGATCAAAATGTGTCAGACCTTTTGTAGACACCCTGTATGTTGCTGTCCATCACCACAGTGCAGGGCAAAATCATGACATAATGATAGGAAACAGATGTTTTGAAAATGTGGCACTGTTCAGATATTTGGGAACAACTATAACAAATCAAAACCTGATTGAGGAGGAAATTCAGAGGAGACTGAAGTCAGGTAACACTTGCTACCATTCAGTCCAGAACCTTTTGTCTTCTCGTCTGCTGTCTGAGGAGCTTCATAACTTGTCCTCTTCCCCACATATAATTAGAATGATCAAGTCAAGGAGGATGGGATGGGTAGTGCATGTAGCACAAATGGTGGAGAAGAGCAATGCATATAGGATATTGGTCTGAAAGCCAGATGGAGAGAGACAACTAGCAAGACCAAGACACAGTGGGGTGGATAATACTGAGATGGATCTGAGAGATAGAATAGGGTGGTATGTACTGGATCAATGTGGCTCAGGATAGGTACCAGTGGAGGGCTCCTATGAACATGGTAATGAACCTTGGGTTCCATAAAATGCTGGATAGTTCTTAAGTAGCTGCACAACTGGCAGCTTCTCAAGAAGGGCTCAGCACCACAAAGTTAGTTTAGTTAGGTACTGTTTATCTGGTTTGTCTGCAAATGACTAAGTCCAATATATATATCAATTAGCTTTGTTTTGTGAACAGTGCTTGAAAAAGATGACTCAGCCACACACATCCCATGTAACTGTGAGGTCATAGCTTACTTAAGATTTTGTCACCTGAGCCAGTTTTTATGGAACCAAATGACTACTATGAAGCTCCCATAAACACAGTCCTACATTTCATTCGAAGTGTGGGACTGATAAAGGGTTAATCAAAAAGGGGAAGCACAACAGATCATCAAAGCTCACAGTGCAAAGGGTGGATTACTATGGCCTAACCCTTATGCATTTATTTATTTATTCATTTATTCATTCATTCATACATACATACAAAGGGTGGATTACTATGGCCCACCCCTTATGCATTTATTTATTTATTCATTCATACATACATACATACATACACAGCTTTGTGTTTTTGTTCTGATAAGATACTCATAATTCTGTTCTGTGTTCTCATTTACAGTACTAAATTAAGATGGTGAAATACACATTTTATCAGCAGGGTTTTCTGTATTATACTGATGTGAACAATAAATCATGTTACGTAAATGGAGGTTACACTGCAAGCATTGTGGTGTTCAAGTTCCAGCTTCAGCGACAGTTTCTGAATTAGTGAAGAAAAGACACCTAACTGTGTCTTTTACGTGGGCATGCATTTCAACAGAAGACTGACATGGCTAGAGCACATCAAAACCAAAAGAAAAAAGCTCAATCTAAAAGTGGCACAAATGCATTGGCTGCTCGGAAAAAGATCAACACTATCAACAGCAATTAAACTCCTCCTGCACAAAGCAGTACTCAAACCCATATGGACCTATGGAATTCAGCTACTGGGGACAGCCTACAATTCCAACATCAAAATCCTCTAGATCTTTCAATCCAAGACTCTCCAATCCATTCTGAATGCACCTTGTTACATAAGCAACCACAGGATCCATGACAATCTACAAATGAACACAGGGCTCAGTGAAACAAAAAAGTCAAATACCAAATACTTTACAAAATTAGAAAACCATACTACTCCACTAGCAGTGCACTCATTAGACAATAGTGAAACTACACACAGACTGAAAAGATAAACCGTCCTAATTCTACCAGACAGACCTGAGTGAAACCCCAATACAAGAATTAAAATAACACCTAAGCAAAAAAGAAAGAAAGAAAAAAAAACAATTATTGCAGATTCAGCGGATTATCCATAATACATGTGCTAATTAAGGAAAATCTCTGAACTGGAGCATGATTATAACATTTGCCTTGCAAATCCAACACAATTAGCTGACAGTGACAAACTGTTGTCTCCTAACATACAGAATTAGATAAATTCAAGCAAATTAATAAGGAAATTATGAGAGAAAAATTTAATTTTGTAATTGGTTTTTGCAGGCAGTACATGCAGTGTTCTAGACCCAAAACCTATGTTTTTTATTGATGAAGGATGGCTCCATCTCAGTGGGTAATCAATGTTCACAAGAGTGGATATTGGTTGCACATTAATCTGAGACACTTATGAAGTACCCCTACATGATCAGGACTGCTGTGGTGTGCCATTACTGCTACACAGATTTGAACCATTTTTCTTAATTAACTATTAATTCACGGCAGTGTGCCAGTAGCATTCTTTGGCCCTATTCTGAAAGCATTAAGGAATAATAATAAAAGACATGGTTATATCATGCAATATGGTAATACAGCGCATACTGCTGATCATTCATTCATGTTTTGGATAAGGTATTTGCAGAAAGCTTGACAAGTTACAGATTGCAGCCGAGATCCCCAGACTTATCTCCCAATGATCTTTAACTGTGGGGAAATCTAAATAAAAGCGATTCAAATAATCCCCTGCATGCACATGCGCACACACTACCCCTCCGCCCCCCTCTAGATGAACTTCAGCACAGCATCTGTGAAATACACCCATCACTGTTACTGAACAAAAACTAATGTCAACCTTTTCAAAAGCCTCAAATCTGTTCAACAGAAGGGGAACATTTTCAATGTCTACTGTCCTGGTGAGTTACTCTAAACAATTTATTTCCTTTAAGAAATGCACATCTATGTCTATAATGCATCACATGTTAATTCAATCGAGACTCTCTTTTCTCAGTAGATGGCAGCTAAGGTCCTTGCTGACAGAATGATGGTAGGACAGCCGGCAATTCGGCCTTTCAAGAAAGACTGCACTTGCCTGTGTATTGGAGCTACACTAAAATGGGGGGAGGGGAGGACAGATTCTCCAGCTGTATGTAGTTAGGCAATTCGAGTAACCAGCCCCTACCCCCAACAATCAACCTTACAGTATCCTCCACTATGATGACCTCTTTTGAGGTCGAAAGAGTAACCTGTGCCCTGGACCTAACAAAGCAGGTGATGGATGCATACAATACATATTACAACCAGTGGTCCAATTGCTATTTTGTGTCAAGATATCTCTCCAAGCTTCAGGTTACTTCTGAAGTGTTGCAGCATTGGGGATAGTTTGCCAAAACTGAAATATACAAATGAAGAATCAAGAAAACTAGAACACAAAGCTGTAAATTTGTATTGAGGCAATTTACACAGAAACTGTTTTTAATTTATAAAATATGGTACTTTGGCCATTAGCAGTGAAGCATGTTTCGTATGTGGCAAGGTGGTGGGATTTGAGCGCAAATCTACTTTAAGGAAAACGTGTTTCACTAGAAAAACAAACAAACAAATTTTTTATATTATTTAAGATTACCTCCACACTCCTCAATCATGTTTGCAAGTTGCTCAACCTGAGGACCTGCCATCTTGAGCATGTTGTTGATGCCATCCAAAACCACTTGGATCACTTGCGTGTCTTTGCAGTTCAGCAGATTGCAGAATGGTGGGATCACACCTTCCTGGATCAGCCGTGCCACCTGCTCCCGGTTACCACTGATAGTCAGGTTGCTTATTGCCCATGCTGCCTCCTTCTGTGTCTGGAACTCACCCTGCCAACACAAAATCCAACACCTTCTAGAAATGATGGTATTATTTACGCACTCTTGACCACATGGTCATGCCTAAAAAATGTGGTCTTTCTGTGAAAGAATATCCAAAACAACAAAGAGGTCTCATCTGAACAATCACATATGCCCTCTTTCATACTTTGAGAACCATCAGTATCTCTCTAACTGTTCCATGTTTGAATTTAAATGCTTAGAAAGTGTTTTCTTTGAAGGTTCTGCTAAGACCAGTCCTTATATTTCAAGTAACATTTAAACACCTAGAAAAGAATGGGTTTCAATTCACACCTTCTTCAATACTGATACTATTATTTTCCATACAAGGCTTCACATTTACTTGCTAATATACGCACATACCTTTCTACTCAGAAAATTATATATGAAAGTTGGAGCATGAAACATTTGAGAATTGACACTTTTCACTGTAAATTATACACATTACACTGAGGCTATGAATACTACAGTTACATAACGGAGAAAAAGCTTACCTCCATTTTTCTGCATAATATATAACATAAAGATAACTATACATGGAGTTTGTGTTTGTAATTGGATCTGACAACAATTTGTCCCTTCTACAAATGATTACAACACTTTCGGGTATTCACAATTATTCTGTATTCTGTCATCATCCACTCATTGCTAGGTTACTGCCTCAAATTATGGACTCTCCATAATGTGGACCTTGTTGGCTCTGACATGCTGCTTTACATTGGCTAGCTGCAGACCAATCAGAAAATGCTGCTTCTGACTGTTGTGAACTTATTTGTTGTAGTGCAACAAAACTGTCATTCTGAACTTTTGTGTTTCACGTCATATTTTATGTGGAAGGAGATAAACTGTTATGCAATAACCTAGTCAAACAGTCCCCACTCCAGCATTATGTGAAAACAAGAGTAACAAAGTATGGCTTTACAGATTACCAGATGCTCACAAACTGGAGACAATTACACACGCTAGCAAGCTTTTGGATGAAGGACTTATAGCACCCTCCAAAAATTCCTGTAACAGTTCACTGCTGTTAACACCTAGAAAGGCAGAGCCCTGAGGTAAAGTGAAATGGCTAACAGTAAGAATTAAATAAAAAGACAGTTCAACTCCCTGCTCATTAATGAATATTCTCTCTATTATAAAGCCTGCTTCAAGGTTTCTGTTTGCTGAGGACAGTGTGTAAACATTTTTCAATATATCTGCAGGCAAATTTGATTACCTGCATCAATATGTAACTAATATTTCTGGTTGGAGACTATGCTTCAATAAACCAACCAGTTGTACATTCTTGAATTAGAAAGCTACCCCTTAGCCACATTTCAGACACAACTTACTAATACACAGGGTTTCAACAGTATGTATGAATACATATCACATAACAAAGAGACAATGTGAAAGCTAGAGGTAAGCAATACTAACTTTACTAAGGTTCCTAATAATTTTTGGCAACAACTCTGCATCGATGACAGCCTGGACTTGCTGTTGGTTGCCTGCAGTGATGTTTGACAAGAACCACACAGCCTCCTGCAAAAATATAAAACATTTCATTTCTGCCCTGCAAGCCCAATACTTAATCAAAGGGAGGGTAGAAAGAACAGACTACTTACATAACAAAACTGATTAAAATACAATGGGTTAATAATGCTCTCACAACTGCGTACTCCAGAAATTTGTGAGACGTTCTACCCAGTCACAGCTTTGCATGGCTTTCTTTTTTCGTGGTTTATTTTATGATGGTGTCAGCATCTAGACCATACTGTATCAAACAGCATGGCTGATAAATCATAAAACAGAAAAAATAATGATGAAGGAAGCAGTCATGGACTATTCAACATATTATCCTGGCATTTGCCTGATGGGATTGTAGAAAACTGTGAAAACATAAGAGGACAGCTCATGTTTGGGCTGAGACTTCAACCAAGCACTTTCCAAACACAAATCTAGAGCACTGCTGTTATCATCATATTCACTGTCACAATTGACTTGAGCTGAATAAACAGAGAGGCTTATAATATTGCTAGTACCAACTAAAAACAATTTTGCACAATTCTCCTTCTTAATTGAATTTTATCAAGCAATTGTGAGTTCCTTGAAGCCATTAAGTCTATCCAATGCCAGAAGTCTGGCCATACACAACATTAGTATGCTTCCAGCCTGGTCTGTGATGTCTGAGGTGAGGATGGGCACAGTGAATCACCATAGCCCATATACAGACTTCCTTTTTACCCTTTCCGGTTGTCACGTTTAGAAAAATTTCCACAGCCAGGTCTTCAGGGGTTTTTAAATGCCTGCCGATCCATTAAGTGAACTGTTCTGTCCAAAAAGTTGGTGCAACAAGGCTATAAAGTTAAAAGACCAAACGTGTGCTTACATTTTCAACTGTCCAATTCTTGGGCCAACAGAACACTGCTATAATATCTGCCAGTGAAATTGTGGCAACCTTCAATACCAGATAAACTGATTCAGTCTGTCCATCAAGAAAAGAACTATTCTTGAAATGGATAGTTTCTCAGAGTATGATAAGTTACACACGTCATGTGTATGTTTTCCATAATTTGGAATTATACTGTGAATGTAACCAGCGTCACTTTCAGCTACTGCAAATATTCTGATGCTGCTCAACTTTGTTGTTTTATTATTAAGTTTCAAAAACTGTTTTGTGTTTGAATTCAATTGTTGATTCATCTATTACAATGTTTCTACCTGGCATAATTTTTTTATGAAAATGTTTCTCTCTATGTTTTATCACCCAATGTACTTTCTTGTCTTTTTGATGGCCTGACTGCTTTATTTGGCAGCATCATTTCCCCACATGCACCATCGTCCGCTGTCACGTCTTCCCACTCACCAACATACAACACTCGTTTAGCTCTCACTCTCACTTTGACATTTCGTTGTTCGATTCTTCACTCACAGTTTCTCCTTCAATTCCCAAATCCATCTCATCATCATAGTCAATATCGAGTTCTTCACTTAACATATCATTACTAGATTCTTCAGCAATATTACACAAGGGATTATTTCTAGTTTCTTCAAAACACAAGGTCATGGTTCAGCTGAACATAGAAGCATGCTATTAACAGGTGACATGCTGAAATATATAAATGGCATTCGTTCCTCAAAAATTTTACACCGACATTTGACCGGAAGGGGTTAAATATTTGATTTAAGTGGCTTCACTTTGCAGTTTTATCAAGATTCCTTTTGTCAGACCCCTTTGCAGTCTAACATACGTATAGCTTTATCTTAACTTTAAACTAGTTTCTCTCTGATTTTCATTATTTGAAGTCCTCATATACAGTCTAAGTCAATGTCAACTTCCTCTTAACGGTTTGTATTTGATTCATTTTGCATTTTGACATGATAGCATGTCAGATTGCTGTACAGCCTGACATATGTACACATTCACATAATTTTAAACCGTTTTTCTTTTTTGAAATTTAATTATTATCTTAAGACCTTACTGACATGTCCATATAAAGCCTGAGGTACTGTTAACTCTATTTTAACTCATCTGATTTTATACGACTCAGACCAGGTTGTTTGACCATGTTTTAAAATGAAGTTTATTTAAGCATGAACAGTCTTTGATGCTAAGTGCCTTTAAATCCACCCACCCACCCTGGGGGACAGTACCTTGAAATAGACTATGACTACTTTTGTCCTCATCCTTTCCATTCATTGGTTATAATCACCATCTCATATTACTGATGCCAAATAAAAGTATCAGTAGATAAAGCATCATAAAAAATCCTAGAACCATATGTGTCCACATACACACAGTTAAGTCTTCGAACAAGTATATTTTTAAATCATCCACAGTTATGGTACAAGAGAACCATATTTTCCTTGCATTATATCATTCTTATTAACCTGACTCTACATTTTCCTTGATTTTATACTTATTTTAGATGAGCCCTTAAAAGTGCAAAATTGAGGCTTCTCTATACATACTAAAGTGATGACCCTTGCAGGATCATGAATGAGGTTCTTTCAGTGTTCATTAAATATGTTGGAAATTAATCTAACATTACAAATTATGTAACTGTATTTGTGTACACAATTTAGCTGCTTAAGTAAAGAAATTATTTTATCATAACTGTATGCAGTTAACAGTTAAAGGACCAGTCGCATGATATCATGCTTTTCGCTTTTAAACGTGGCAGACTGGTCACATGATATCAAGATTTTAGGACACGTTAGGTTGCAACACACTATACCTTGCTATTTTGCCACACAGCTGCATAGATACTGAGCCAAAAAACTCCGGAATGTTTGCTTAGTATTCAATAACATGACCTAGCTGTTTTCTTAACCCCCTTTAACGGAAAATGCTTTGCCTGTCTTCAATTTGTTTGTACCAGTCAGTAGTTAGTGGTGTGGTATGGATCAAGGACAAATTCTTCTCCGATGAGCTAGCTTACGAGCCTTGCGAGATGCATTGTGATGGTGACTCAGATAGTGGCAGTGACAGGGGAGAACAAAGAATTGTGGCCACAGAGAGTCAAAGTGACAGTAGCTCCGACAAAAATGCGGGTAGTAAGATTGCAGGGACAGCAAAAAATCTAAAAAAAAAAAAAATCACAAAAATCCAAACCCTGATTCGAAATTGAAATACAAAGCATTTCTGATGAATGTGGCAAAGGCCTGGGCTACAGACCAGATGGTGGTGGCAGAACCAGAGTCAGACACAGGCGTAGTGCAACCAGGCCCATCAACTCCCACCCCATGCAGGTCTCATGTGGACCACCCAGGGTGACTCTCAGGTGATATGCGGAAACATACCCTTGTGAAAATTGTGAAGAGTGAACATTCCAAGGGGAAGCATCCTTCTAGGCAATGCTGTGTTTGCACAGTTCACAAGAAAAAAGGGGGGGGGGAGTATGACTGTCTACATTGCAAGTTATGTGCAATGCCACTTGACAGAGGGGAATGTTTCCAGAAATATCACACTCTTAAGCACTTCTAGGAGCATTGGTAAGTGTTCTCCAAAAATTTTAGTTCACAAAATGAATTAGGAGATTTTATATTAATTTTTAAAGTGAACAGTGCACAAGTTAGGATAGTAGGTTTAATAATGCCGGTCCCCAGGGTGATTTAAATTGCCGGTCTTTAATGTGTTAAGTCTCATGAGATAAAAATTTTCTTGATGCAATTTTGCATCACCACCATCTAGTATAAGAGCAACCATTCCCCCCAGAGATCTGTTCAACAGGATTTACTGTAGTTATAACTTGTCTGCTTTATCAGGCTATGTGGGGTACAGCTTTTAGTAATATGTGGTGCTTTACTTCTCTTTTACCCACTGGGTTGTATGCGTGTATTGTCAGTACACTGCGTGCAGTATGTCTACGTAATATTTTTTCTTTATCAGAATCAGTGTCTATGCCACTTTGAGAAGGAAAAGTCGTCTACAGATAAGTGTTCATCAGAACATGTAACAAGTCAATTCTTGTATTATATCTTGTTTTTGAAGTCTAAGAAATGCACTCTGCTAACAGCTGGATGGAATGTTAGTGATACTCCTTCAAAGAATAAAAATAGTAGTGTTCCACGTATGCTGAATGAAATTCAAGGAACAAAAATGAATTTTGCTGCATGACAGAAGGCCATCACACCATACATTTCGCATAAAACTCACATTTCAATTCAAACAATGAAAATATAATGGAATAAAAATAGTATATTAAATAATTTCTACCGATGGCTTGCTTTCAATATTGATAGCAAAGTAACAGATATAACAGTCAACTTTTTTTTTGTGGGTTTCTCAGAGTCAGGGAATTTGGAAACAGCACCTTTTTGTGGAGTGAGCAATTCAACAAACACTGTCAAGAAGTACATTTGGTAAGACTGATTTTATTAGGCCCAAATTTAAGGAGCAGCAAAATAAAACATTTGTCAACAGAAATGTTTATGTGGCTTGACTGGCAATACGAGGGGCGTTCAAGTTCTAAGGTCTCCCATTTTTTTTTCTCAGGAGTGGGAGCAGACAGACACATGCGGTTTAGTTTAAAATACGTATGCACTCTTTGTGAATGCATGACAGAGATGGCAGCACTGTACGGCACACAGAACTCTAGTGGTGGCAGTGAGAGTGAGAAGTGTTTTTGATACTTAAAATGGCAACGTTTTCGTTACAAGAACAGTGAGTAATCATTCGTTTTCTCCACTTGCGTGGTGCGACACCCACTGAATTCATCGCCAGTTGAGTGAGACGTGTGGTGATGTCATGAATGTGAAAAATGTGCGTTCGTGGGTGTGACAGTTCAAACAAGGCTGAATGTCGTGTGACAACAAACCAAAACAATCTCGGCCTCGCACCAGCCGGTCTGACAACATGGTCGAGCAAGTTCAGGAAGTTGTTTTGGAGTATCGCCGATTGAGTGTGAAAAACATCGCCTCCAAAGTTGGCATTTCCTTCGGATCTGTGCATACAATCTTGCATGAAGACCTGCGAATGCAGAAAGTGTTCTCCAGGTGGGTGCCACGAATGCGGGCGGATGACCACAAGGCTGCGCACAGGGAAATTTTCCAGGCGATGTTGACACGTGATGAAGGCATGAATGGGACTTTCTTTTCATCACTTGTGACAATGGATGAGACATGGATGCCAATTTTCAATCCTGAAACGAAGCGCCAGTCAGCTCAATGGAAGCATACAGACTCACCGCCATAAAAAAAATTTCGGGTAAGCGCCAGTGCTGAAAAAATTATGGTGGCCATGTTTTGGGACAGCGATGGTGTAATCCTTACTCATTGCATTCCAAAGGGCACTACGGTGACAGGTGCATCCTACCAAGATGTTTTGAAGAACAAGCTCCTTCCAGCACTGCGAGAAAAACGGCCAGAAAAGGCTGCACGTGTGCTCTTTCACCAGGACAATGCACCAGCGCATCGGGCGTATGTGATGCATCAGTTTCTTCGTGAAAACAACCTTGAAGTGGTTTCTCATGCTCCCTACTCACCTGACCTGGCTCCTAATGATTTTTGGCTTTTCTCAACTCTCTCCGTGGTCACACATTCACCAGTTGTGCCGCTATTGTATCAGTGATTTTCCAGTGGTCAAAACAGACTCCTACAGAAGCGTTTGCAGCAGCCATGGAATCATGGCGTCGATGTTGTGAAAAATGTGTACAGCTGCAGAGAGATTACGTTGAAAAGTGACAGAAGTTCCAAATTTTTTGTATGATTATTGCGTGACAAAAAAATCGGAGACCTTAGAACTTGAACGCACCACGTAAAACCATTTCCCAAAACACATCTGGGCTGTAACACGGAAAGTGATATTTTGTAGCCAGTAACTATGCTCTACTATGTACAATACTATTCAGAAATTTGTGGCACAGCTACAAGAATATCATCATGAAAAACAAATGAAAGAAGAGAAAATGATTGTACAGGAGCATAACCTAAGATCCATATACAATGCCTAGACATTTAAAAACTGTGTACATGGGTAAATTGATTCATATTTAACAACCTAGTTTTTACCTGAATATAACAGGGTACAAAATCTATTAAATATAACTCATGTTTTGATATAATGCAGAATTGAGCATTTAAATAGAAAATTCCCCAGCTGTAAATTTCATGAAATTATATTCCTGGATGATAAAGGTTAATCTAAAGATCCAAACATTTATTATACCTTGCATATCTTCTCCTTCTGATGTGTAAGAAGTGCAGGGAAGTGAGACAACGCATCACAGTTCAGCACAACCTGTGTCTGCTCATCTGTCCCTGTCACAATGTTGCCAACTGCTCTAAGAGCAGCAGTCTGAACCTGCAATCATATTAACTTGCAAGAAAACCTCAACATACTGGGAATACCTCCACATCAATACATGAGACAATACAAGTGGGGAGAAACCTGAACAACAATCCACAAAGGAAATACTGTGTCATAAATATACACTATTATAATGCTGGTACAAAATCTGCACATACACTTGAGCATGAAATCCTGTTTCATCTGTATCAAATCAGGTAGTAGTAGTAGTTGTAGTAGTGAAAAATGCAGCTGTAAGATTGATGTGTTCATTCACAGTTCATACCTCAACAAAATTTATACACTCTGATTCTCATACATGATTTTTATCGAAAGAAACAAACATATTATTTTTATCCCAACATTTAGATAAAAACTTTTCAATACATAGTTATGAATATCAGCAATTAATTATGTAATCTTTGCTGTCATGCAATGTTCCCCCCATCCAATCTGTATATTACCACTTCAGACAGACATGTCATGGCTCTCAAAGTAAATCACAAAGTGTTTACAAAATATAGGTACAGGGCCACACTGATATCCGCGCACAAGTAGCAGGGCATGACAGGGCAAAAAGGGAGAGAATGAGAGGTATGCACTACCGAAGAACTTACAATCATATGCTTTTTACTGCTGGCCTGTGAATGTTGATGTATATGTTATTCATATAAGCACTGCTAAATTAAGATTAAAATAAACACAGGAATCACAGTCACCTTCACGATCTTAGATGACTGCTTGGCAGTAAGTAGACAGAAATGTATATCACTGAGTGCTACAATTTACTTTAATCCTACATGAAAGGGGTTGCATCTTTTCCTTTTACATTACAGTTTATTTCGTACTGTCAGGATCTAGACCAGATATCCTTGAACAGTAGAATGATAGAACTGGAAAGGATCTGGAAGGAAGTGGTAATGATCTACTCATGGCACCACCCTCACATTTGCCAAAGGGAGCTTAGAAAAACCAGAAAATCTCAGTCAGGTCAGTTAGTGTCCCAATGAATGTTTGAACTGAACATGACCTCCTGAATGCAAGTCTACTGTTATTGCTACATATCATTTTATTGAATATGACAGGTTAGAAGTGTTTAGCCAGTTTTAAATTACTTAAATTAAAAATCAAAAGCAACACTGCTTAATACAATACCATTTCTTCTATCAACACTCTGACAGTCAAGTCCAGCCATAAAATTACCTACTACAAAAACAAAGACTGCTTGGGGGTAAATGTTGTACTGAAGAAATTATGTAAACAATATGAAAGAAAGAAAGAAAGAAAGGTGCAATAAATAAATGGAACACAGATATATTTAAGGATGTGGAAACAAGAATGCTGTATAGCCAAGAAACTAACAACAATTTAGAACAATCAGGTAATGAAAACTCTTCAGTAACACAAAAAAGGGGAAAGGATAGAAGCACCAATAACTACTGCTGCAAATAAAATTACTGAAAATAATACAAATAAAAGACAAAATGAATGAATGGATGGAGAGTAAAGAAGTAATAAAAGAAGAAATGAGGCTAGACAAAAAGATCTTCACAGAAACACAAGAAAGAACAGGGAGAAAATACTCAGATGAGAAAGAAGGCAAATAAAATCTGCATATAAAAAGAGAGAATGGATGACAACTAAATTTAATGAGAGTGATGAGCTAAGTAAACAAAATGAAACTAGGAAGCTATACATGACAGTTAAAGAAATAAACAAAGGATATCAACTACAGACAATTGGATGCCAAGAAAAAGATGGAATTACAGTGGCAAACCCAACAGAAGTCAAAACAAGGTGGGCAGAATATTTCCGAGAACAGATGAGTAAAAAGGAGGATGATAAATGAAGATGAAGAGCTTAAAGACTATGATCCCTTGGAGAAGATAATATAATACTGGAAATGCTTATTCATGCTTGTTTAGAACTTAAAGAATCATATGAAACAAACTCCATGGCTTTAATCTGCAAGAGAAATATACCGACCGAGCGACTGCCGCTTATTGGTGAAGTTAGTGTCACCTTTAGCAGATAGAGGGTGTCGCGTGGTCAGCGCAATGAATCACCACGGCCATTGATTTCAGTTTTCTAGACCAGAAAAGAAGAACTATACAAGTTGATTAAACAAACATGGGAAGAAAGCATACCACCGACGTGTAAGACAGGTTAACTTTGTCCCATTCATAAAAAAAGGAGACAAATCTGACTGCAATAACTACAGAGGTATAACCTTACTTAACACCATAAACGAAATTGTGACAAGTTTGATAAATATGAAGATTGCAGAAGACAAACTTGGAGAACACCAGTGTGGGTTCCATAAAGGAAGAAGTACAACAGATCAAATATTTGTGCTGCATCAAATAGAGAAATTTCGTGAGTATGGGAAAGACCTACACATACTATTTTCTGACTATAAGGAAACATTCGATAGTGTAAGGAACAAACTAACACAAGCTATGCATGAAATGGGAATACCAACAAAATTCGTTAACTTAACAATGCCGACACTACATGAAACATCTGCTAAGGTGAAGTTAGGAAACAAGACTGGAGAAAAGTTCAGGTATTATAGTGGTGTTAAGCAGGGTGATGGTCTGTCAACCACATTATTTAACATAGTATTACAGACAGCAATCAAAAAGGTAACAAAAGATGCATCATATTCACAATACTCAGTTAAAATTTGTGCATATGCTTATGATATAATAATTATGACCAGAACAAAAAATGAATTGCAGAGTGTATATCTGACTTTGGAAAAGGAAGCAAATCAGCTTGGCCTTTTTACAAACATAACAAAGACAAGGTACATTCATCCCAATACAACTAATCACGCAAATATAAGATAGAGGGAGTTACATATAGGAGACAAAGAATTTGAAATGGCACATAAGTTTTAATATCTAAGTGCAGTAACAGATGAGAAAAATAATGTAACAGTCCATACAAGAAAGAATACAATCTGGCAATAAGGCATATTATGCCAATCTAGAGTTACTAAAATCTAAGGATATAAATAGGAATATGAAAATATATTAATATGTCCTGTAGTGACACATAGCAGTGAGGTGTGGGTGTTAAAGAAATAGGATGAAAATAATTTAAGAAGATTTGAAAGAAAATTTGTTAGGAAAATATATGGACCAATAAAAGAAGAAGAGCAGTGGAGAACTAGAAACAATGAAGAAATAGATGAGATATTTTAGGTTTATAAAGGCAAAAAGACTTGACTGGCTGGGACATGTAGAAAGAATGGATGCTAACAGAATGCCATAGAAAGTCTTATATGAGAAGATCTATACTAAAAGAGTATGAGGTAGAACAAAACTGAGGTGGTTTGCTGTCAGAGAGGACCTTAGGATACTGAAAGTTAAAGACTGGAGATCCACTGCGTTGAACAGAGATGCTTGGAGGTTGTTTATGCAGGAGGCCAAGGGCCACAAAGAGCTTTAGAGCCAGCTGGTAAGGTAAGGTACAGTATCTTCTTATACATAAAATATCAAAAACTTACGTTAAATACATCAAGGTGTTTTATGTTTATAGCTAACATGTCTTTAGTGAAATAGTGAACATGCCTGAAGGACAAATGATCAATGCATACTGCTGTTCGCTCCTGACCTTTTTTACAGCTCCAGAGTGTAGTGGCACAGATAATGTCACTGATGACTAAATATGTAACAGTACTGTCATAGGTCACAACCACATTCCCCTCTAACCACGAGCAGTTGTTATACCTGTGGCCAGTGCTTGGATGTTTTGTCTTTCATTATGTTGCCGTCTACTTCTTTCTGTTAACGGACTTGTGCACCCTAATTACTATGGACACTTCAATGGAAGTTAAAGAAGGCAGAGGAGTAAAAGATGTCACAAAAATTATCTGTTCTTGATAGGACTATCATGTTAATTATGTAACCAGTAGTGTGCCTTGCTCTATTCAGTACAGTCAAGGAGCTACTACTTTCTGCCAAGATCATCAGCTCAGTGTGTAACTGTTGTGCCCGATACCATCTACTGGTACGAGTCATTTCGATGTTCCTTCTCAGGCAGTGTTTTCTTGCTCCCATGTCATCATCTGACTTTCCCTTCCAAACACAGACTTCATGCATTTTTCGAGCTAGGAGCCACTTCCTATGACAGAACACACTCTTTACCCAGAGCCTTGGTCTCCAAGTGGCATTTTGGTTCAGGTTCAAAATTATGTTTTGTTATTATGTGCTGCCTAGGACCGCCTCTGTGATCTAGTGGTCAGAGTTCCTGGCTACAGATCCAGAGGTCCAGATTCAATTCCCGGTGCTACCAGGTTTTCTGACAAGTAGTGGGTCTGGAACGGGGTCCACTCAGCCTTGTGAGGATAACTGAGGAGCTATTTCAAAGAAATAGTGGTTCTGGTCTAGAAAACAGAAATTAACATCTGTGGGATTCATTGCGCTGACCACGTGACACCCTCTATCCACTAAAGTTGGCACTAACTTCACCAACAAGCGACAGTCGCTTGGTCGGTATAGTTCGCTTGCAGACTAAAATCACAGAGTTTGTTTTGTTTCTTTGTATTATGTGTGCTGCCTTGATTTAATTGTGTTTTGGCTTGCTGAAAACTTTGTCAGGGACAGCCCTTGCCTGCATGTGCAAGTTCATATGTGGAATTCCTGTAAGTATGGTGATTTGTACAATGGCAAGGTATATGTTGGTTTTGTCTGATATATTCAGTGAGCCTGTCATAGCAATTTTCTTTGTCTTAGCCCTTACAGCTGTTCAAGATGTTCGAGGTGCGTAATGAGTCACATAACTATTTTTGCTATAGACATGGTAGTAATTCAGTTCTCTCACATATTTTTGTCCATGTGGTCATTGCATAACATCATACAAGTAAATGCATGAGTGAATTTTGATCTAGTAGCCATGTTAGCGATATGACATTTTGCAAGTGACTTTGGTCATATTTCTCATGCAATTCTGTTTAAATAATAATGATGCATTTTTAATATTTCTGGTTTTGACTTATTTTGCTAATGTTTTACATTCTTTTACTGTCAGTAATTTTTCTGTATTTTCTTACACGTGGGGCAATCCAAAACTTACCAAAATTTGAATTTTGTGCGCGAATGGTTATGAGTACATCGAAATACCGCCAGGTGTCTCCTCACCCAACCTTCTTGAATCAGTGTGGCAAGCGGCGTCGAGTTGAGTGGTTGGGTTTATTGTTGGTGAACGTATTTCCATTGTTGTGTTTCCGTGAGTTTGCTGTTTTGCGATGGCTGACCTCAGAGAGCAGCGTGTCTGTATAAAGTTTTGTTTCAAACTTGGGAAAAACGCTGCAGAAACGCACCAAATGTTGAAGCAAGCTTTTGGTGAAAACAGTTTAGGCCAGACACAAACTTACAACTGGTATAAGCGTTTTAAAAATGGCCGAATACTGACTGATGATGATGATGATCGTTCGGGATGGCTTTTAACGGGCAAAACACCAGAAAATGTCACAAAAGTTAGGGATCTGATTCTGCAAGATCGTAGACTGACCATCCAAGACCTCTATAACACCTTGGGACTAAGTTATGGTACATGTCATCAAATTTTGTCAGAGGAATTGAACATGAGGAGGATTGCGGCAAAGTTTGTGCCACGACTGCTGCAAAATGAACAGAAGCAGCATCGCTTGGAAGTCTGCAGGGAACTTCAGCAACAGCTTCAAGAGGATCCAAACTTTCTTTCGAAGGTCATCACCA